GGATGTAAAGACTGCATTCTTGAACGGTGAATTGGAAGAAGAAATCTACATGGATCAACCGGAAGGATTCGTTGTTCAAGGAAAAGAGCATCTGGTATGTAAGCTAGATAAATCTCTTTATGGTCTCAAACAAGCACCTAAACAATGGCATGAAAAATTTGATAACTTAGTCATCTCACATGGTTTTAAGATAAATGGTAGTGACAAATGCATATATGTAAAATTTGAGAATGATATATGCACTATAATTTGTCTATATGTGGATGACTTGTTAATTTTTGGCTCGAACATTCATGCTGTGAATGATGTAAAGCTATTGTTGAATGCTGAGTTTGACATGAAAGACCTAGGAGAGGCTAATGTAATCCTTGGAATTAAGATTACTAGGACAGAAAATGGAGTTTCCTTGGATCAATCTCATTACATTGAGAAAATCCTAAAGAAATATGGTTACTTTGACTGTAAACCTGCTAATACACCTTATGACTCCAGTGTTAAATTATTTAAGAACACTGGTGATGCCGTAAGGCAATCTGATTATGCGAGCATCATTGGCAGCCTTCGGTATGCCGCTGATTGTACTAGACCCGACATTGCCTATGTCGTGGGATTATTAGGCAGGTTTACTAGTTGTCCTGGTAATGAGCATTGGCATGCTATTGAAAGGGTCATGAGATACCTTAAGAGAACCATGAACCTAGGATTACATTATGAGAGGTTTCCAGCTGTACTAGAAGGCTATAGTGATGCCGACTGGAACACCTTATCAGACGACTCTAAGGCTACTAGTGGATATATTTTCTCTATAGCCGGTGGAGCTGTATCTTGGAAGTCTAAGAAACAGACTATTTTAGCTCAGTCCACCATGGAGTCAGAGATGATAGCACTAGCTACAGCTAGTGAAGAAGCAGGTTGGTTAAGAGACCTGCTAGGTGAGATTCCCTTGTGGGAAAAACCATTACCTGCTGTCTTGATCCATTGTGATAGTACCGCGGCTATTGCAAAAGTTCAGAACCGTTACTACAACGGTAAGAGACGACAAATACGTCGTAAGCACAGCACTGTAAGAGAATATCTTTCTATTGGAGCTGTGAGAGTGGATCATGTACGCACGGAGAATAATTTGGCTGATCCTTTGACGAAAGGATTAGCTAGAGAGAAAGTCCATAATTCGTCTAAGAAAATGGGACTATTGCCGTTGAAATGAGTTACACATAATGGTAACCCAACCTATAGACTGGAGATCCCAAGAAATAGGTTCAATGGGTAATAACAAGTTATGGTGTGATATGAGTTGAATATGTTCAAAAGACATAATTTCCTGAAGCGATCAAGGATGAGTTAATAGGAACTCTTAATGAAATCTATACTCCAATTTGGAGTGGAATACCAAGCTACAGGAGTACTCTTGATAGATTCACCTATGTGAATGTGGAAGTGAGGCCGCTTCCTATGAAATGTGTGGCAGCATTTCTAGAGCATTCACTATACTGGGATAGACGTGCATGGCCGTAATAGCACGGGTCTTTAACAACACCAAGAATAGGTCGTGTGAGGTACGTTGTCAGAGATAGGGTTCAAAACTTCGAGTTACCCTTGTTAAATCTGAATCGTATTGACTATGCAGAAGTTCAAGTTGAAAAACACTTCTGTGTATGCACAATCTATATGTGTAAGGATTCTGCTCGAAAATGTTTTCAAAAAATTCAAGTGGGGGATTGTTGGAACAACAAGTGTGTAGTGTGTGAATTTTGTGTGTGAATTTTGTGGAAAAAACTCAAAGTCCCACATTGGTGGGAAATGAGAGTTTTACTCTCTTTATAATATAGAGAGTGGGCTAAAGGGGTGTGGCCCTTGGGCTACCCACATTTTGTGGAGAGGGAGGACCTATATGGTAAACCATATATCACACACACGCGCGCCGAACCGAGCCGAGCCGGGCTGGGCTGGGTCGGGTTTGGGTTTGGGTTATTAAACAAACTTAATTTTTGTTACCGGTTTGATTAATATTCAATTACAAAACGTTTTACTGTTTTGGTTTAAATTTTTCCGTTACATTGCTTGATTCTCGTTGCTGTTTTACTGCTAAACGTTGCACCGTTACACTGATTTAATGCCTTGATTCTTGCTTAACGAATACACTAATTGCAGTAAACGTTGCTAATCTTTCTCCCGTTTTCATGCTTAAGCCGTTACGTATCTTTACCTATAAAAGGACGGTTCCAGCTTTGGTTTTAAACACACGGCAAAAATTACAGAAAACCACTTTGCAAAATATATTTTCTCTTCCTCTCAAAACAGTCGAGCAGTTTCTTTCTGATTTTCTGGTGTTCCGTTGTCCGGTGGTTCGGTGCAAAACCGCCGGTATTTTATACTTGTGAAAGACTGTTTTATCCTGGGGAACATCCGGTTGTTGTACGAGCTGCTTGCACAAATTAAAGGGCAGTACCGTGAATGTTCTAAAGAGAGCGACATAGTCCGCGACTCAGTCTAATTCCCGGTAACTTTGTTCTGTTTTTATTGTTTACAGCTAAGAATAGCTCCTTCCCCACTTTATCATTCTTTTTGGATATACTGTACAGGTAAGTGTACATGATTATCGTAGGTTCCGCCACACCTAAAATCAGCAGCGGCTGCCCTCCAAATATAGAGAAAATGATTCCACAAATAGCCGTGGAAATAAGTGTTTCCACTGTGCTCAAACTTCCATCTAACAAAGGAATATTAACAATTCAGCAACATGAAATGCAAAAGATCGAGTTTTATTTAAAATATCTAATGACTATAATTCACTAGGCAACATACCTGTATCCCTACTTAATTGCTCTCCAAATACAATTACAGGAAGAGCAGACGCAAAAAATATACAAGTTGTTGGAGCCAATATCCTGCATTTGTTGAGCCAGGGGATATAAATCATCTTATAACCTCTTTTTCGAGGAAAAATGGGTGAGGATCCTTTCCAATTACTGGACCATCTCGTTACTAGAATGAAATAGAAACAGCAGAAAACTTCATTTAAATAACTGAAGAGGATCTCGTTCTGAGGTATTAAGGGTCAAAAAACTTACTTTATACTAGTATCTCCAAGCCAATCATGTCTACAGAAAGGTAATCGTCCCTTAAAATCTCTAGCTATGCCTTCAAACGGGATGGTTGATGTGTCCATTACAATTCATAAAGAACACAAACTACAAACAACATATTGAATTCATTAGTAAGAACCTAAGGACTCTAAGGGCCGGGGGAGTTAAAGCAAATGAGGTCGTACGAGTACATAGTGGCTTTAACATAGGGGGCTTCAAGACAATGCGAACAACTAAAAATTACAAAAACATCAGTTTAAGGTATAAGTTTAAAATCAGCTTTAAGAGATCTGAATTTCCCTCGTAATGTAGAACAAACATCATGCACAAGTAATCCTCCTATTCGAGGCTGGTTTCGAGGCCATATCTAAAATGTGGTTATTCTAGCAAATGAAATCTATAATTTAGAAACGTTGTCTTAACCATCACTCCTAGAACTTTAGAAGAATAATTACGACATGCATTGCTTTCTAAAAATAATTTGTTGGGCTCATATAATTACATGTGTTCATGAAGATCAATATATGCAAACTCTAACAATATTCCTGCAACATAAGATGAGGTAATGCAATACCATGCAATATATTCCATACAATACATTAACATACCTTAAACGATAAACCTAAAATATACTAAACCTGCATATTTAATCTCAATGAAGATGATTACATTACTTTCAATGTAATTTATATGCAAATAATAACCTTAAAATCAATATATAAAAAATAAAAATCTTACAATTTGTTTTTTAATTTTTCAGGAAAATTATCAAATACAGCCCTCTAAAATTTGCACCCGAAATATTGATCTAAGATTGGAATCATTTTTTTTTTTTTCCTGTTTCTTGAAGTCTTTTGAGAAAGCTTGTGGGCTTCTGACACGTGTAATACTGCTACCCATCAGAGATTTTTGACTCCTTTATATGGTGGTTGAATCTTCCATCATCCTGCCAATGATTTTTAACTGTCATTCCATTGCATCGATCCTTGATTGTGTAATATTTTTTTTTTTTTTTTTATATATGGACTATTTTTTAAATTTTTTTTTATCAAAAGACGCTAATAAACCAACACCTCTCACAGGTGAAGCTAGCTCAGCTACACAGGTCGACGCTTAAAAAAAAGGGAGGTAAGAGAATCCCCTAATGCTAAACAATTATAGTTAATAAGGCTTGAACTTGAAGGTCACAAAAGGTGTCTTACCCACCAACTCTGTCAAGCATGCTTGGTTTACGTACACTTTTTGTTAAATTAGACCCCTTAATCTCAAAATGAAAAATACTGTCAAATCTACTAAATTTTTCCACTAAAAAAAATCTACTAAATTTTGTAGTACATAAAAAAATTTGGGTATTGGCTTCATACAAGTCGCGGTAAGTACGTGTGGTAATTCTCAATTCATTGATTTACTTTTAGCAAAAATTTCAATTGACAGAACATTACAACTTTACAAGGCTCATCAACTTGCTACAGACTATCATATTACCATTCAAAATACAAAATATTACAACATAGCAGACAATACGTTGTACTTCATAATAATGTACAAGATGCTAACTTGTCTATAGGAAATATAAGGCTCATATAAAAAAGATGACCAATTTAGAAGAGCAACCAGTGTGGAGCATATACCGAAGCAACTTCATTGCAGACTACGAGCCTTTTGTATGTTCATCCTTTCTCAGGTAGCCAGTAACTTCCCTCAGAACAAATAGAAACTAGGTAATCACATCGAAAAAAGTTTACAGGATGTACAGAATAAAACATGATCGTGATCCAATGGTTCAGTATGCCCTCATGAACTTTCGCCACTCTTCCAGTGTCCTTTGTAATGGCCAGAAAGTTAATATCAGTCACTCCTTGATGATCAATAACAAAATCCAGAATCTAGCACATCAAAAGAAGGGCTTCCCGGGTTCGACCAAGTAAAGACAATACAGTGGCAGCAATATGATGGCCAGTCAGCCCTGCACGTGTAAGCTGTTCGTTTGGAGATGCATGTTCTATGTAGGTGTCCGGCAATACAATTGGTCTCCACTGAAAGAGTCACAGATATCACAAAATTAAGAGCACTGACTGCATCTGCTCAAGGTTAAACACTTGAACTAGGATATGCCATTTGCACAACAGAAGCAGAGATGTGAAAGGAAAGAAGGTGACAACACATTGCTCCAGCATTATACTCCGGGAAATATATATTGTGTAAACTTGTTTCCACAAAGATAGGCTTCTCAGCTTACCCCCTCAACATCACTTTCTCTATACACCGTGTCACTGTATCTCGGTATCAATAAAAAAATTGAACTGTACAAGTGCCTCCAAATTTGTTTTGACATGATACAAGCACAGCAGTTTCCTAGAGAAGAGGTGAAATGAGGAAAATATATCCCAGCATGCAAATCCCATGGCTCAAACTTGCAATCTCATTTATGAATATTTAGCCCAAACGGCCAAACATGTACACACCAATAGAAACAGTAGGTCATGGAACCTTAAAAGTCATTCCACTCCATAAGTAATCATTGATAGGCTTGGAAATGGCTAAAGCTAAATGCAGAGGTTTCTACAGGCGATAACTGAGATAAATCAGAGTATGGTCAAGCACTTAGCTGTGTCGGAAAGAATTCCACAAACATAGATCATGTAAAGTTCCTCAAATATCATACATTCGAGTTTTAAAAGGGAAAAAAAAAAAAAAAAGTCGAAAGGGGTGTAGGATTGATTTATTAGCTTAAATTTTATCAATAAAATTTAACAGAAAATCAGTTTAAAGATTTACCTTAACTCTTCCATCAAGCTTCCCATCAAGTGCAATGAATTGGGCAACATGGGACCCAAATCCTCCAACAGATCCTTCCTCTACAGTAATCAGAAAGGCATGATTTTCACAAAGATCTCTCACAAGCTTAATGTCTAGGGGCTTGCAGAATCTTGCATCCGCAACAGTAACTTCTACTCCAAGCTTTGAAAGGAGAGACTGAGCCAAAAGGCAGTTCTGAACCATGGCTCCATATCCTAATAAAGCAACATCTTTTCCTTCAATGAGGACTTTCCCCTTGCCAATCTATTCTACAGAAAACGGTTCACAACTAAGGCAATGGTGCACTAAACTTACAAGTATCAATCACATTAAATATAGAAATAAAAGTCAAACATAAAATAACATACGTTAAGGCAGAAAAATAATCAGCAGTAATAGGGATATTAGACCAAAAGGTCTAAACAGAACAAAACAGATGCATCGCCAATCCATGTTTAGCAATCTATCTGAAGTATTTTACAGGAGATAACAAAGTGGAAACAATAATTTTATTTATCAGGTTTTTCAACTTACTACTGTGCTCATTTAATTGATAAAGTAAAGAGCACACTTTCAGAGTGAAGTACTACCTCAATTGGCGTTCTACACTTGGGGTTATCTATGCCAACAATAGAGCCTCTGGGATACCGGAAGCACACTGGTTGATCATCAATTTGTGCTGCAGTGGCTACCATACGAGCAAGTTCAAACTCATCAGAGGGAGCCATCACAATCATGTTGGGCAAGCAGGACATGAAAGTTACATCAAATGAGCCAGAGCACACTGGTCCATCGGAACCTACCATGCCTGCCTTTGTGATAGCAAAACGCACTGGAACTTTCTGTCTATCAACATCGTGAACAATCTGTCAACAGGAGAGACAAATGAGCACATGTTTTTCAACTCTCCTTTGACCAATTTGCAGCCATTTCAGATAATTTAATTTTTAGCAGCTTACAAGAAATCAATGTATCAGGCAGCAAATAGTAATTAAAATCATCATGAAGGCTAAGGCAAGGCATCTTAAGACATGATAATGAAGGGTGAGCCAAGACATGAATGAGATAATTCCGGGCACCAAGTAGGCTTCCTTGGGCGCTTTGGGAACCCCGGGAAGGACCTCGATGCATGATCTTGCCGGGTCCAAAACTGTGCTCTGGAGGCCAAGTTTGAAGGCTATAATACACAAAATTGGACTATTTTCGGAGATTTCGGGACAGAGTGTCAAAAATTCAAGGGATGGTAGGGGATGCCCAGGGTCATATAATGTTGTTTGGAATCATTTATGGCCAAGCTTGTTTCCCAGAGTCAAGCAACTGTCATGTTTTAGTATCTTTAAGATAGGCCTAAAGTGAGTAATAATAAACAAAAGATTAGACAAATGCGGGAGAAAAGGTGAGGGGGTGGAGAGACGAGACCTGGTCATAAGCTCGCTGTAGGAAAGCAGACGGAATGATACAAAATGGTTTGAGTCCTCCACATGCTAGACCAGCAGAAAATGTAACAGCATGCTGTTCGGCCATTCCAACATCAAAAAACCTATCTGGAAAGTTCTCTTGGAACAACTGAATTGATGACTCCATCCTCATTCCTGCATGAACTGCCACTATATCCTTGTCCTTCTCTGCCTCCAATGATAAAGCCTCTATAAAGTAGTGGTCATATGTTTGAGGGCCAATTCTAGCTATCAATGAATCAATATCACTTGAGCCTGAAATGTAAAGAAAAGGATAAGCATTGAAAAAATGTTGGCTATTATGGCGATTTAAAATTATATATGCTGTTACTAATAAGACGATTGGCTTTGTTTTCTCCTGAACCATTAAAATATTGCCTTCACTAAAAGATTGGAATCTGGTATATGCAAGTACATAAACAAATCTCCAAGACTCCTAGTCACTACAACTATTTTAATATTCCAGGAATTGTCAAACAGCTTAAGTGGAGAATGGACACCAAGGATTCGAGCATATATCAGTTAGTAAATGTAATCAAGATCCACACCTTCCTCAAGTTGCAACATAGTGTGCTTTTCTTCATTGCAATTGATCTCAGCTAGAGTTTTTGAGAGCATGAAAACATAAAGAGCAATAACAAATTGAAGTCCTTAAACAACAGTGATAACCTGACAGCTAGAAAAGGTCTAACCTTTCCTCATTGTGGCACATGCATGCGTAAAAAGAAAGAAATTCCAAGTTTTTTTCAATTCAGAAACCTGCCACTTAACTGAGCATTATTAAAGTGGAAACGTAATACTTTACTCAATTGAAAATCAAGATGTTATCAGCTTAACCATGCTAGCAAAACAAATTCAGTATCCATCTCTACTAGTGGAAGCAAACAATTGAAAGGCATAAAAGAGTCAAAACAATAGTATTGTATTGTATCGTATCACAGGCTAAAAAAGCTGAAATAACTAAGACCAAGACACTGATTAGAATATAACTGAGAAAACTCGTCAAAGCATTAGACGGAATCATCCTGACAGATATGCATATATATAGAATCCAGCCATAATGTACAAAACTGATGTTGAAGAGCAATAAAGGTAAATACTGAATAAATTACCTTCATCAAGATTTTCCACAGTTTCACTCATTTTCTTAGGTTGTCCAATGTTTTCATCTGTCATGACATGAATCAATACAGGGCCCATAGAATCCAACGAAGCTACTTCTTGTAGCACACAAATTAGATCTTCAATGTGATGCCCATCTACTGGACCAATGTAGTACAGTCCCAACTCCTCAAAGAGTGTTGATCCTGTAGGACCCAGCATACCACGGGCATACTCATCGACTTTGGCAGCCCATTCATACAAACCTTTACCAACTCTCTTAGTAAGACCCTAAAGGAAAAAGATAACAAAAAACTCATTAATACAACAATGGAACAAAATTATGACTTTCATTGAAACAGGGGATGCTAACTCATTCTCTTAAAAATTGTTCAGTTTATTTTCAGTAAGGACCACCAAGAGAACCATACCTTAGCAACTTCTCTGAACCTTCGGAAAGTTTTGCTGGATTGCACCTTGCTCCAAGAACTAGAGAGTGCAGTAATTGGTGTCCTGGAATCCTCATCAGGCTTAAGATGCAAAGAGTGGCAATTATCATTTAAGATTACCACCAAATTTGAATCTAAGTATCCAGCATTACTCATTGCCTCGTAGACCTGACCAGCAGTAGTTGTTTCATTGCTGATAACAGAAACTACACGCTCACGTTTCCCTTTGATATCTCTTGCAACTGCCAAACCTGAAATAAGTGGATATAATGGAGGTGTGGTTATGTTTATTTAGCAATATTTTCACTTTTCCTACAGAAATAAGCATATCTATTAGTAAGAAAATTTAAAATCTACCAAGTCCAGCAGAGATACTGTTGCATCCATGAGCAGCACCAAAGGGGTCAAATTCACTCTCAAAACGGGAAGTATAACCAGAAAGTCCATTTTTTTGTCCCAGCGTACTTATCAGGGATCTTCTTCCTGTGAGTAACTTATGTGCATACGTCTGCTCAAATGCAGAAGGCATCAAATTTAGTATAAATATGTGTTGAACTCCCTTCATAATATCACATCTCAATTATCAAAAAATGGAAGAAATGAAAACAAATGGGAGCAACAGAACAGCCGAGCCAAGAGAATTCCATAATGATAAAAAGGGCCTGATAACTCACTTGGTCCCCTATATCCCACAAAATCTTGTCCATTGGTGCATGAAAAACATAATGAATTGCAACAGTCAGCTCCACCACAGACAGACTAGCTTTTAAATTTTTCTGTCCTTTTGATACCATGAGAGACAGCTCTCCACGGATTTCATCAGATAATTGTTTCAGCTCCTGTTGCACCAGGACTCTAATCAATTGGCATAAAACTTCAATCTACTGCTTGTTTGTTTTCATCTTATAAAGACACTAAGTTTCAATATTATTATTCATAATTGTACCAAATGGTGTAAAGAAAAAGGTACCATGACTTCTCAACCTTTCGTGACAAATTTTTCATGTTAATGGGGTTCTCAACCATATCAAGAATAGGTGTAGGCACGTCTTCCCAGAAAAAGTCACTGTTATTGGCAAGAGCTCGAATTCTTCCTGCATGTCCCTGCATTCAAGAAGACAAGATATATCACATAGCACTCTGTACATAAAAGGGTGCTGTTTAGTTCACATAAAGAGGGGGGAGAGGGGGGGGGGGGGGAAGCTTCATAAAAGTGCACAATAGTCCGAAAAATAACAAGAAAAGAAAAACCGAACACCAAAAAGTTTGCCCTAAAGGGTAAAACATAACAATATTTAACAACATAAATGCTATCGTATATATCCACTTTGATTTTATAAGCCAACTAAAGTCTTCTTTTAGGACTATGGTTCTCTAATGCAGTTAATCGAAAGTTATATCACGCGGAAATAAACACAGGAAATGACAAAAAGCAACAAACAATGATTTTACATCGAAAGTTATGTCAAGGCTCTCAAGATCACCCTTGGTCCCACGAGAGTTCCGCACCCAACCTAATCATTTAAGGTACTAAAAAATCCTTATTGAATCTTCCTCATTTTTAACCCAAAGTCCCAAACACTCCATCTTGTCTTTCTACCTACCTACATATGTGCTTAAACACCTAGACTCGTATTACAGCTAGTATAAGTAATACTAATCAAAGTCAACTTCTTATATATTGATTCGACTAGGAAATAGATAAGATCCTAAAGCTACGAAATTGCCAACTAGCAACTTTGATCACTTGTTGCTTCTTGTCTCATGGGAAAACACTTTTCATAGCCCAACAAGTGCCAACCACTCCACGCAAATAGGCTCCAGCATAGAAGTGGCCCAAATTTGTAGCTTGGCTCCAAGACCCAATACCCACACAATACACAACAGCCTCCATAACCCAACAATTTTCCAACCGAAGACTTGTTTACAAGAAGACACCCATCAAGAAGAAAGCATATCACCATTGCACATCCACCTAGGGAATCATCTTCCTAATTCACCAAGGAAGATACAACTTGACCAACAGTCTACACCATGCAAGTCAGGGGACAATAACCTCACCTAAAGCACCACCATGCTCCCAAGTCCCATCCAGATGAGAACATATTATCGGACTCGAATTTGCTAGTTTCCCACACACTACCCATGTGTAGTGCCCTCACCCACAAATCCAAAAAATTACCTGAGAGCGATCATGTGTACACAAATCACACCTTTATAAAAACTCGTTATAATAACCTTGTCATTCAACCGAATAACAGAACACAACATGCTTCCATAAACCCACCCTGCAAGGACATGACAGCCTGACTCACGCATGTGAACCCCATCATTCACGGAATTGAATTTCATCTTCCAGCAGTTTCCTGATTTAAATTACCACTCGTTTAAGCTGTGATGACTGACGACAAATTAAACCATAGGAAAAATGAAGAGTAGCCCACTAACCCCAAATGTTTGTCAACTTCCTGTCAATCTTCCAATGTTGTGCCATTTTCCCTTTCACACACACATGGAACATTCCCCACATTTCTTTCATAAGCTTTGCATTCTAAAGAATACCACGAGCCAGCTCGCCTAACCACGCTTGAAGTTTGTTTCTTACTTATCCAAATCTAATTTATTGGTGGTACATACTCTTCAAGTCCAAAGGTACTTCATTGTCAATAATTCCACCCCACTCCCTATCACAATATCAATAGTCCACAATTTTTTGCAACAATAATAGGCTTTAAGCTACAATAGTCAAAAATGACTTCTTATAGCTGATAATCTACACTTTATACTATAAACGGAGTATGAAGCAATCTTTAGAGGGTGAATTCAGATGAATTTTGTCCTATAGAATTCCATAATCATGTCGAACACGACCATATGTCCAAATGCTAGACTCGGCTATATCACCAAACAATTCCATGTTTTTGACCAAATTGAAGCATTAAGTATTCGTGCCAATGTTGGAGTGTCAAGGATCAGACGGTATTTGAAATAAAATGAAGAGTCTAAACAGAACTAGTAGAAAACAACTGCTCTAATATCACCCTAAAAAGGTTGCAACAACATTAATGACTGTAATCTTCTGATGATTAAAAAAACAAACTCCATATTCATGATAATTCAGTAACTTTATAAACAAATAAACATGATTACACATAGCAAAATCGTATGAATGTATGATAATACCTTGAATGTAAAGCTGGAATTTAAGGGTGAACAGGCATGTTTTCTGCAAAACTCAAAATTTGATTGATAGCTGAAGCTTCTTGATTCCAATTTATGAAGAAAATCTTTAGAATTTCCAAGAGATTGAACAGAAATTCCAAATGGGTTTTCAAGATAAGCCATACCCATCTAGAAAATCAAACACCCCACAAAAATTGAACCAGAAATTTACCACCAAATTGCCATCAAAATACACAAGTACCCATCTTTTCAGCAGAAAATCGAGCAAGTTTTGCGCGAGTAATAAGAACTTTGAATCCCAGAAATTGAAATTGAAGTGTCACAAATTATGACAAAGAAAGAGTTCTAGTGGTATGCAGAAAATGAAAGGGTACAAGTTTGAGTGGAGACAAATGAAGCACTATCAGTTGCATAGTGTTGAGATAGTATTGGCTGTTTCTACTGCCTAGAGCTGGATGGATAAAAACTGAGCACGTTGCTGTGAACTGTTGGGGCCTGCTGATGAGCTTGTTTAAGTCGAGGTGGCAATTGGATTGTTCGGGTCGTTCACAACAGGGTTAGATTATTGTTGGATACTTGGATCTATATGGATAGGTCATATGGAGTAACTCGGTTGGGTATGTTTCGGGTCCAATTAGAATTAGTTTTTTGCTGCAATTATCAAAGAAAAAATAAGTTTGTTATGAATATATATTAAATTACAATAGAGTTTTATGGTTTTCTGAAAACAGGAGTCCAGTTTTATTTAAATTCTATTGCTAGTTTTCTGTCGAGTTAAAATCCATATAAAAGTGGTTCATCATAATTGTTAATATGCTTCGGGTTCAAGTCGTAGTAAAGTTTATGCTTGATTTGGTGATATGTAAATCTGAGTAATCGAGTATGAATTATTTTTGCACGTCTAGTTGTTAGACCATCAATAATTCAATATACAATAGTGGGGAGTATCTTAAATGGGGTTTTTGTTATCGCTCCTGTACTCTACTTCATCATTAATTCAGTATCTCCTAAGAGTCACCCTTGCAGGTTTTGTACCTCTTTTAAATTATTTTTTCTTATATGCAATCACATTCAAAACGCAACAATAAGTTCAAGTTGATGTTGTTTTATGCTTAGTTAGCAATATGTCACGAGACTAGCACAAATCTCCCATGCAGCACCTAGACTCAATCTAATTATCTAAGCCATCCCTCCTCATATGCACAACAATCTATTATAGTCCAAGACTCCAAGTTGATGTTGAGCTTGTGTGTAGGGATATTCATAGTGTAGTTAGTTAGGTATGGTTGTACCGTTGTAGGGATATTCAAGGTCTAGTTCGACGCGGTTTTGCACCCAAAAATTGTGAACGAGTCAATCCAACTCAAGTTCATTACAGTCAGGGTCAATCAGATCATGTACCTTTTTTTTTTTTTTGAAATAATCAATTAATTAATCATATCATGTACTTTAAGGTGTAGGTTTGTATCGGTAATTAAGGCCTTGATTTCTTTCTCTTGAAATAATAATATTCCCGTAAAAAAAATTAGTTTAGTAAAAACAAAATTAGTTCAGCAAAAAAAAAAAAATCAATAAAAATAAAAATAATTTTTAATGCATAAAAATCAGTAACTTTATAGAACAAAGAATCTATAACTTTACAGAACAAAGAATCAGTAAAAATAATAATAATAATAATAATAATAATAATAAAATTAAGTTTAGTAAAATTAATTTCAATTCTACAAAAATAAGGTGAAGAAAACGAAAAAATACAAAAGTTAATATCCTATCTAAGCGAGAATGAGAGATAGATCAAGTAGTTAAAGCTTCCCTCCTGATTCTAGATGATCCTAAGATTGATTCTCATTACTCTCCCTTGTGTCTCTCTAAACACCAAAAAAAATATCCGCTAGTTGTTTATGGATAGTATTGTAAATTATCTAACATTAGAGCTTCAACCATAGAGATCTTCAACAATGGAGCTCAATCTCCGCTTCTTCGCCACCACAACAACCGCCACTTATCACGATGAGAATCATGTTATGAGCAATTTTATAGTTAAATAGTCTTTACCTTCTTCAATTATCTTCAAACCCCACCGAACTAAAGCTTTCTTCAAGCTCTAATAGATGCTCCATTGTTAAAGACTTAAAACCCATGTGCCCTCAACAATACCTACCATTTTGGGTTAACCAAACCATTCCCTTAATTTGTATTTTTTTTTTTTCCAAGGGGGTTGTTTGTGGTGTTGATGAAGGAAGAAGATGCAAGTCCAATGTTTTTTGTTTTTTGATGAAACAATTGTGCTACTGTGCGTGAGTTTAAATTAAAGGAAGAAGATGAAAGAAATATGTTTTTTTATTGTTGATATTAACATAGTTTGTTAATATAGGATACAAACTGAGTCTAGCTCTGAAGAAAACATGGCCTAATTAATATGGGTCAATTTTATCGGATCTAATTGATCTTCCAGTAATGTAAATTTACTGCTAGATATACAAGCTGTGTTCTTTTGTTTACCAAATACAGTAAAATTTTCTGGATGAAATGGACAGGAGCACTGCAGAAGAACTATAACACTTCAAATAATTTACCACCAGCCTCTAGCTAATACATATTAGCAATTAAAGCTTCAAATACCAACCAACCAAACCAGAGAAAAAATATATAGGAAGGAATTCATTCATCTGTTCTCTGCTATTCAGTTTGCTAGTAACTAGTTTAAGATTTTCTTGTTTCGTCAATTTTTCAATGGGAAAATCAATGCTGCCAGAAAAAATACAAGGACATGAAGTTTTTACTTCCACAATTTCCTCAAGGACATATTCTTTTCTGTATCCTTCTTCATCACCTTTGCCACAGCCATTTCAAAATCTTCCTGTGTTACGTGAATCCTCCTCTCTCTCAAAGCAAACATACCTGCTTCAGTACATACACCCTGCACACTCCAGAGTAGAGGAATTTGGTTACATACATGTATAAATCACCGACAGGAAAAATCATATAGACCAAGATATCTATGTTTACATAGTTCAACTTCAAAAATAACTTACTACAGGATCATAAATGAACAGGGAGAAAAGAGGAGGTTGGGGGGGGGGGGGGGGGGATCAATTAGATAAACTGTTTCGATTCATATGCTAACAGGTATGCAGCCAAACACAGATTCACATATGCAAATGTCAATTCATTGGCTATTAAAGCAGTTAGTAAGATTCAATAGCTTATCACAGCCAACTTCTAGATTATTGTTTTGTAAACATTGTACTTGTAATTAAGTCATGCTAGCACAAATTCTGTTAGTTTCAGCAACTGACAATAGAATACTAGAAATTCCCTTTTCTGGGTTCCATTAAAATGAAAACTCAAAGCTCACAATGATAACATATATGCTCTTAGACACATGTTTGTAAGGAAATTTCTGCATCGCAACTCCCAAGTCTCAATTACATTTTACCAATAAACTAGCTTAAGATTCAGAAAATCAGCACAGCACAACTTTCATCACGTTTCAGGGGAAAGCAACAATAACTTGCGACTCTTGCAGACCTAAATCTCAAATTTTCACTAGTGTCGTGTTTCTGCAGGATAGCACAAAAACAAAGTATATCTACGAGACTGACAAAAATCCAATGTTCCTTACAAGCCAAACTTTGTCACCTTTCTCTCTCTTACACCCTTTTCTGGTGCCAAAAAGGCAAAAGCATTTCAGTTTATCCCAATAAACAAACAAACAAAAAAGCCTAAGCATATAATTAATGATCGGCATTTCCAATATGGAAGGAAACAGCATTGTCTGATAGCTTTAGTCTCATTATAATGCCAATGGTTTGTCTAAGTATGGTTTAGGGATGGCATGTATAGCATGTTTCATGTTGTAAGAAATCATAATCCTTTGGAAACTCTGTATCATTTGAAAAGCTCTAGAATTTAATACTCATTTTACACCGAAAAATTATATAAGATGCTGAAGGAAAATAACAGTTTGCAAACCTTTAACTCTGCACCAGAAGCGCCGTTCATCTTTTCAGCAATCTTCTTCAAATCAATCCCACGCATCAAGTTCATTCTTCTAGAGTGGATCTTCAAGATGTCACAACGAGACTGAAAAGATGCAATGAAGTCATTTAGAAAAATGTAGAAGCACTGTTAACATGTTGGGGAATTTCAGATACAATTTTATTAAATTATCTAAATTTATAAATGCAAGGGAAACAGCTCATTCTAAATTTCTACTTGCTTGGTAATGCATGTCCATAAACCAAATAACATATGTATTTCAAAAATGCATTACCAAATGCTTGGCACTACATTTAAAGGACAAAGACCACCTTGTCAAAGCAAAGAAAGGGTGAGCACCCTGAATTTGGTACATCGATAGATGTAACTATATGAGTCACTAAGTGGCAAAGTGCTTTCTTTTGATTACAATGTTCTTCCATGTCATTAGGGAATAAAAATATAACAAAATCTTCCTTCTTCCATAGATCAACAAGACTTTAAATGTTGTTTTTAACACCGCACCTAAGAATATTTTATAAACCAATGAGGCAATGAGTGCATTATACCCAAACAACTACTGCCACTTGATTCGGATCATTAATTATTTACTTGTAATCCTTTATAGGCAGATTCAAGTTTTTAAATTTACTTCGTGTTACATGCCACCATTATTTTCTCTCATCGTTATGTGAATACCCACAAAGTCACAAAAAAAAAAAAAAAAAAAAAAAAAAAAAAAAAAAATCTCCACTTAATACTTAATGACAAAAGACAGCGCATCATAATAACACTTTCCCTATCTTTCCCCTCAATCCAATCCAAAAAAGGTATAATAAAAAAAAGTTTCTAAGCCTTTCCAAAAGAAGACAACAGCATCAGCACTTTGGGTTAATCTATGAAAGGAACTTCAAGAGGAAGCCTAGAAAAGAAAACAGATTGGTGAAAGTGTCTCCATGCCCTCCAAACTTACTGAACTTGCCTACTTGGATCAACAAGGGTCCTTTCAGTCCATAAAGCAGAATACAAAGCAGGAGACTCATTTAGCTACATGATCTTCAGGGAGGGGGTAAAGCACTTGCTTGACAGTTAATTGAGTTAAAGAAGGAAATATGCAAATACGAAGCGCACCACAAAGCTGTGGAATAAAGAAAGAAGCCAATATATTAAACTCACATCTTCGTTAGGATTGGGGAACTCAATCTTCCTATCAATCCTTCCAGGTCTAAGGAGAGCTGGGTCCAGTATGTCAATCCGGTTTGTGGCCATCAAAACCTGAGGATAATTATGCCACATCAATTACAATGAAATATAAGGTATTAATAGACCAATAATACAACTAAGAACAATTCAGAAAACAACTCATAAGTACTTTAATCTTTTTTGATGCTTCAAATCCATCTAATTGATTGAGAAGCTCCAACATAGTTCTTTGAACTTCACTATCTCCATTTCCAGATCCGGATTCCATTCTTGCTGATCCAATACTATCAATTTCATCCATGAAAATGATAGACGGAGCATGTTCTCTGCACAACAGCAACATCGAAGAGTCATGCACATTGTTCATTCAGACTAAATCAGCACAAACAAATAATGTAAGTTTAAAAACCTTCTGATGCAATGTCAAATAGGATATCAACATAGTATAGCAGTCAAATAAGGATATCAACTTAGTATAGCAGGCTTTAAACAAAAAATGTAACAAACCTGGCCATAACAAAAAGTTCTCTAACCATTCGGGAACCCTCTCCAATATACTTCTGCACCAACTCCGATCCAGAAACCCTTATGAATGTACAGTCAGTGTGATGTGCCACTGCCCTAGCAAGCAGAGTTTTTCCAGTACCGGGTGGACCATAGAGCAAAACTCCCTGTACAAAACAAAAGACAGATGCAGTCGTGATTAAAAATGATGGTTAGACACCCATAGAAGAAATAAACACACTATAGAAATGAAAGTCTCCCACAAGCCCATAAATATGAAGAGGAGAAGGGGGTTGATGTCAACAAACACATGTCTTCACTCTTCAGAACCAGAGACAAAATTTTAAATCATTCAACATAATGAGGTATTGAGGTTCAAGTAGGTCGAAACCAGAAAATGTTCAGTAATTTCACCTTAGGTTGAGCAATACCAAGACTCTCAAACAATTCAGGATGCTTGATTGGAAGCTCGATAACCTGAAACAATTTTTAAAGAGTTAGACTGCCCTCTTTATTTATCAAAAGCAATCTACCCATAAACTGTTGTCATTGGGTGGGGGTGAACATGGTGACAGCTAACCTCCTTTATCTCTTTAATTTGCTGGTCTAAACCTCCAATCATGTCATAAGTAGAATCAGGAACTTTCTCAACTTTCATAAGGTTCACCAAAGGATCAACTTTACTAGGTAAGACTAGATGGAGGACATAGCTGTCATTGCGAAGAGCAACTCTAGTGGAAGGTGTGAGTTTTGTTATGTCAATGTTCTTATCAGCATCAACAACATATTTCCCTTCTGGATGAACCTGTTACAGGATTGGTAATAATTAGAAACTTCACTCTATCATTTACGATAAGACTACTGTCATGATTATAAAAAAAAAAATTGGTAAGTTGAACACTACCATTAACAGTTATTAATTCTATAGTAAAAAATATGGCGCCAAAGAAAAAGGACTCACTACACAATGATATAAGCTTACCTTGACCAACACCTTAGACTTTCCCATTACTTTGACAACTTCTCCAACATATGATCCAGGCTCTTGAAGCAGCATTAGTTCCTCTTTGAGCATCCTGACTGAGCATGTCCAATATAGTATATAACAGTATAAGTCTAACTACACTCAATGTGGGGTAAAAGGCCAAGCTTTTCAAGCATACTTGCAATAAAGCATAGTTTTTATGTAAGATTTGAAATTGATTAAACAACTACAAAGTACACCTTATTCATCACAAACCACACAAAAAAACAATTCCCTGTTTACACATACACATTCCAAACAATCAACTGCATACCAAACTTAAGCAACTTACATATAATTAAAATCTCCGCTTGAAATCTGAAACAAACAGAAATGCAATGGTGCAAGATAGAAATTAAACCTATAAACAACAGCAGCAACCATTCTGAACTTTCGAATCTTACATCAGATAACTATATCGAAATTCTGAAGAAATTAGTAAATTTTTTGATAGGCTAAGCTTCACCCAAATCACAATACATCACAAATCACAACTCAAAATTAACTCCCAGATTCTAAAACAATTACGGTAGGAAATAAATTGGCCTTCCCTCATTATTGTTCAATAATCCACCAAATTACAACTACACACAGTAGAACCACAAAAGACAATTGATCGAAATCACAACTCCAAAACCCTATGTAGAGAAATTCAGAATCAAGGCAAAGGACATTTCACAAATTCGGTCACACAACAATCGAAGGCAAAGGCAAAAGTTTCTGAAATCTTGGTATTCAGCTAATTACTACACTAAAACATCTTAATTGCAATTAAGCCGGCAACAAATCGAAACACAATTTACCCAAAAAAAAAAAAAAAAATCTTGACTAGTTAACAACGAAATTACAACCCCAAACCCAAAAAAACACTCAAAAGGGATCAAATTAAACAATGCCAAGATGAGATCAAAGACAAATTCAACCCCCAGCAAAAAATAATACAACAAATTCAAAACAATAAATAAAAATCGATAGTAAAATCAAAGAGAACAGAAATTAAAGAAAGAAGTGAGTAATTCGATAAAGTAAGGGTTAGGGTTTACTTCACCTTGAGAATTGAGCTCATTACGATGAGCTTCAAGACGGCTAAGATCAAGGGTTTTCTGGCGATGAAGATGTTCGAGTTCGTTGATCCGTTTGAGATAATACTGGCGTAAACCATCGCCGTGAGTGGTGGTTCCGGAGGCCATTGTTGCAGGGCTACTTCGTTCGGTAAGAGCAGTCGCCATTTTTTTGGGAAGAAGAGTTTGTGTGAGAAAAGAGGGATTTGAGGAGAGAGAAAATTTAATTTAGGGAAGTGGCTTGCTCAGGAGGAAAGGTAAAAACCCAACAGTAGAGTATTGTGTTTTTAGGATTTTTAAATTGTGTTAAACACCATCAACATTTTTTACTCTCTCCGTGTTTTAATAAGTGTTATAGTTTGACCAAACACGTATATCGAGACATGACTTTGACCATTAATTTATCTAATAATATGTTTAAAAATTATACAAAAATTGATACTATGAAAGTATACATTATAACGAATCTAACATTGTATTATACAATAACATTTGTTTTTTATATATTAGTGTTTTTTATATATTATGTATTAGTAAATTAATAAGTCAAAATCATTATGTGAATAGTGGAAAAAGTCAAACTGTGACACTTATTAAAACACAGAGGGAGTATTATTTAACACATGTATGTATGGAACTATGGATGGTTATATCCTTACTACTTCACCATCACTTGCCACCACTTCCACCTCTCCTCCACCAGCGACCTACCACCTCTCCTTCACCGGCGACCCACCACGCTTCCCCTTTACTTGCAATCCACCACCTCCTAATTGCCGACGAAGAGGTTGAGGTTGTTTTTTTTAGCAGCCTACACAATCGGCAGCCAAATTAGTCCAAACGGTGGCTAAACCTGTTTCTGGCGCTGGTTCAACCACCAATAGACCGATTTTGGCCTATGGTTGGCCACATTTTTCAGCCGGTTTTGGCCAAGCCACCAGTTGATTGGGTAGGGTTTTAATTTATTATTATATAATTATTATTAAGTTGTTGTTACAATTATTATTATTATTGAAGAAAAATGTTTGTAAGGGTATATTTGAAAATTCGTTTTTATTCCTTACATATTTTCTTCCACGTCCAAACATAGTACTAGCCATATTTTTATGAATTTCCAATCCTATCCTCTAATCCTCAAACTTCCATTGCCACGTGCCAAACACCCCGAAAAAGGAAATCAAGGGGTAATGTTGTCATTTTGCACATTAAGCTAAGAGTAACTGGGTACTTTTGTGATTTGTAAAAATATTTTGTCACTTATGTAAAAGTCCGTAATGATAAAATTGAACTTTGATTTTCCTTACAAATTTGTATACAAATTCGTTCTCATTACCATCATTTGTGGCCACCTACCAAATAGGTCGTCAATTCTTTGTTATAGTTCTTCGCCACATTGTTTGCAACAACTTGAAAAATTGAACAGTAAAATACTTCAATAATCAATACTCATAAGATCCTAGCATAGTGATGAAAACTGAGTCCCCCATTTGTTACTTCTTATATATGCCCTTGTGACTTGTTCTGGTAACTTTAGAAAGTTAATAGCACGACGGTCTATGTGACTTGTAACTACGATAAAACTAGATTCGAAATTAATGCTCAAGTGCGAAAAAAATTACATAGTTAAAATTTGTGCAGGCAACAGTAAACTATTGAATTTTCTTTAATGAAGGATAAGGAGATCAAGAAGATATTTATGGGAGAGAGATACTGCTGTTTGCCCTCATACAAATATCAAATTTAGGTGAGATTGAACACCATTAACTAGCAAAACCTATTCAAGATTCAATCATTAATATACTTTGGCAGAAATCACAAGCAATAGGATGGTCAGATAAAATAAAATAGATTAAATCAATCAACTACACAAAAACAGTCTACCCCAAGAAACAAGAAGAGAAATACTAGCTTAATTCCATCAATAGTTCACTACTTAAATTAGTAGGCTTTCTAATCTCCACCTAATCACACCTTCCTACTTCTCTTATCAACTCTAGACACTTATCGAGTATATAACAAATTCTCTACTTCATAAGCGAATTCGTTATCATTCCCATGCCAACAAGAGGCATATCAGCTGTATCATCTACTGAAACCCTGAAGAAAGGTTACATCTGCAAAAGAAGCAATGGAAAGAAACTAGTTTCTGCTACCATTCAAAGCACCCTGCAATTAAGAGGGATACTTAGCTGCAACTGCTGGCTCATCAACCTTGTCTCAGTTTGAGATTGACGATACCTTTGGGACATCCACAGGAAACAAATGGATCTCATCCATCCATGGGTTTTGCTCTTTTTCGGGATTCACTCCCCTCAGAGCTCTCCAGACTGCACTATTACACTTGAAACCAGAACCAAACGCAATCTGCCATATTCTATCTCCCCTCTTAACCCTCCCTTTAGCTTCAGAATAAGCCAGTTCATACCACAGGGAGCTGCTTGAGGTATTCCCAAATCGATTGAGCGTCATCCTCGAAGGCTCCATATGCCAATCAGAGAGCTGCAGGTTCTTCTCTAATTCGTCAAGAACAGCCCTTCCACCAGCATGAATGCAGAAATGCTCAAAAGCCAGTTTGAAATCTGGGATGTAGGGCTTTAGCTTCATCTTCAAGACTTTCTTTCCTATTAGAGTGGCGAAGAAAAGCAACTGTTCTGACACAGGAAGCACCAAGGGGCCTAGAGTAGTGATATTAGTCTTGAGGGCATCTCCTGCAACAGCCATCAAATCCTTCGACAAAGCAACTCCAACTTTTCCCTGGGAATCCTCTTCTTGGGTAACACAAGTGAAGCATTTATCATCAGAACCTTTGTGGGTTCGGACAGTGTCAACAAGCTGATACTTGGACCGCCATCTATCAGATCTCTTGTTTGAGAGTAGAATTGCAGCTCCTCCCATCCGAAACAAACAGTTAGAAACTAACATCGATCTTTCATTTCCAAAGTACCAATTCAAGGTTATGTTCTCCGTGCTAATGACCACAGCATAAGAATTGGGATGGACTTGTAGAAGATGCTTGGCAAGATCAATTGAAATCAATCCAGCGCTACAACCCATTCCACCAAGATTATAACTAACAATGTTGCCACGCATCTTGTAATGGTTAACAATCATTGCAGACAATGATGGAGTGGGATTAAACAAACTGCAATTCACTACCAGTATCCCAATGTCCTTAGGTTTCACATTTGTTTTAGCAAACAGCTCATCCAGGGCTCCAAACATCACCATCTCAGCTTCCTTCCTAGCCTCCTGCATACACACATTAGGAGGATCGAGAAGAACAGATTCTGGAAGGTAAGTATCTTCACCAAGTCCTGATCTTTCGAGTATCTTCCTTTGAAACTCAAGGTTTTCCTTTGTAAACGTACCAATGGAATGAGACCTATCCATGAAAATCTGCCTCGTGCACTTCCTAGCATCATCAGGTTTGTAACACGAAAAATTCACAAGGTACACAGGGCTAGGGCGAGTAAGGAAATAAAGGGTAGCCAAGAAAACGAGCAAGGTCGAGCATACAATCACCGATATTAAGTTGAAGCGAAGGTGCTCCCAAAGGACATAGACATCTTCCAAAGAGAAAGTGGAGAGTTGGGCAGCAATGACAACAATAAGAGGTGATAGGAACAGATACATTCCATGGGTAATGAGGTAATGGTAACCCAATTTGACATATTTCAACTTGATAGATTGCTTAAAATCGGGAAGCTTTCTTGAATTTGAATTGGGCATTAAGGGGGTGGCAGGATTTTGTTCACTCATAACTTCTTCAGCAACAATTCAATTTACTCAATCAGATCAAAAATACATTAATTTGGCACCTGAAACAACAAATTATTCAGAATTACTCCCTGAAAAGTAGAACATGATCAAATTTAGCTAACTGGTTATGTTTGAAAATGCAAAATTTTGCCTGATTATTTAAAGTCTAAACCCTAAGATTGTAAAAGATTTAATAAAGAGAAATAAAAATCCATTCTTTATAAAGAAAATCACCTCAAATTCAGGAACTGGGTGTCAGAGAACAACGGATTACCTGTAAAAATAAATGCAAATCCCAAGAATTAGAGAAAATCCATAAACCGACATGAAGACCCCAACTAACAATTCTACTTCCAACAATAGTTTACTTTTTTTTGGGAAGCAATAAACTATCAGATTGTCAACCAAAGCATAAACAGATTAGATCTGACTGAACAAGCATGAAATTAAAGTGAGATTATGATGCAAAATAAATGAAACCCAGAAAAGGAAATCACCTGAAATTGTAGATTTTTAGAAGAAAAATGTCGACTTTTTTTTCTTCAAAATTCGGAGAAACCAAAGAAACGTGAAAAAACAGAAAGAGAGAAGTTAGAGTTTGTTTTTTGATAATTGAAATGAAGGATGTTTGTAAATATTTGTAATGTAGCCTGTAATACGTAGAAGAACAGTGTGTACAATCTATTAATCTGTATATTATATTAAAATCATATGATAAATAACGATTAATATAATATGTAACGTTATTTAGCATATGATACCATGTGAATAAATATGATGCAGAACAGCAGAAGGGTGGGACCCAAAACTACCAGATTGTAGGGGACTGTTATTTTGGGAAATTGGAATCCAAATTGAGGACTTGTTTGGTGGAGAGGATTTAAAGCAAAAAAGAGCTGATTGGATTGGTCAAACAGGTGATGCAAGTGTTTAATGGAGGGATTTTAAAGGGAGAAATGTCATGCACGTAGACATATATGCAAATGCATTATAAAGGACATTTATGTAATTATACGTATGTATAAACGAATGCATATTTTGGTATCATTGGATGATCAAATAATACCACTGAACATATGGTGACACTATATAATGGTATTATATATGCATTTAATTGTACTAAATTTATGTATAAATAGTACCACTGAGGATTCAATGTTACCATATAAGCTTTCAGTAGGATAATTAGTATGTGGTCCCCCCATCACGTGTGACAATCTGACCAAAAAAATAGGTAAGGTCCACATAAAGACCTCTCTCTCCTCTTTTCTCTCTCTAGTCTCTACCATGTATTTTTAGAATATTTTAATTATTGTTATGTATTACAAATACATAACATTTTTCCATTACTACTTCCCCTGTTTAATGCAGAGTGGATTTATATGCCAGTAGCTGATTGGGCTAAGTAAGGTGACTAAGGTCATTTTGGAAAAGCTCCTTTAAACAGCGTTTTGAGATTAACAATTTGTGAATTGTTTCCAAATGACACCCATGCCCATACAATTTATCACTGCTGCAAGCAATTGCTTTGACTCAAAAGTCGTTGTTTTAAGAAAAATTTGTTAATTACAACCAATAAAATATCCATTACAACAATAAAGTTTATTTTTGCAAACTAGAGCAAAAAAAAATCACCAAAAATTTTAAATTACAACCAAAATCCAATTTTTGGCCACTTTCACCGGAATATGCAGAGTATACGGAATAAAAGGGCATAGAGGTAGTCTTTCACGTAGAAGGACTGTATCCTTAACCAAAATCACTTTTATTTCTCTCTTTTCGCCTCTTAAGTCTAATTTCGGCTGAATGGCAAAATTCTTCATAACAAGATAAGATCCAACATCCAAACCAACAACTTTCATTGAGCACAGGGTAGTAAACATGTTTTCTACAGTAAAAAAAATTCTATAAGCTTCAACATGTTTGCACACGGGGACCAACGGTTCAAAAAAATAATGTGTAGTGTGGAATTTCCTAGTCTGTATATGCCAGGCTGAAAACGATAGATACAAAGAATTTTTTCCATAATTACGTAGTATATTGGAGAATTGTTAGCCTCACACCACCAGTACATTTGGTCATGAACCGTGGAGGCGTGGACATATTTTCTACTGCCTTTTAGATTGATGTCTGATAATTAGCTTGCAGCTTCTGGATCCTCTATACCTACTACATACATCAGCTATACCAATCAAGAAATAAGACTGCGAAAGTAAGTACAATAAAAAACAGCCAAAGAAACATTCTGCTACTGCTGGTTCGCTGTATGGCCTGAGTAAGCTCTTTGTTGCCAAGCACCATATTATGCGTTGCTTCAACTGCCTGAATAGACAAAAGATAGCAAATGGTGTGTAAATGCAAGGTTTCTCAGATAATCTTATAGACATGTTGTTTGATAACAGTAGAAATAAGAAACACCAAAACTCAAATTTCTGAAACAAGGCTGGCGCATCATTAATGACACGGAATCCTTGATCAGCAAAGTTTTTCGCTCTAAATATGGTATTGACAAGATGACACTTTTTGAAAACTCTTGGTGTAACAGGAACTCAGGGTCTTGGGGATGGAATGGGATTAGATGGGGCCTCCAGGTCTTAAAACAGGGTTGTGCGTGGTCTCTAGGAGATGGGTGCTATGCTTAAATTCACCATCCCTGGATTCATGGCAAGCCACCAGTGTGGAAAAACCAAATTGTCATCTCAAATGAGAATGTAGCCTCAATCCGCAAAGAAAATGGTGACTGGGACCTTGATGTTTGCAAACTCTGGTTTACGGAGGAGACCATTGAGAAGATCACCACAGTTACACTCATTGATACAGGTTTTGAAGACTTAATAATCTGGAAGGGGGAAAGAAGAGGTAGTTACTCTGTAAGAAGTGACTATAGAATGCTTTTCGATGATAAGCATGGTCAAGGTAGGATGCAGGCCATTGTCAGAGGTTTGAACAACATAAACTGGAAGCTCTTCTGGAGTCATAATGGTACCCCAAAGCAAAAAATCTTCCTTGGAAAATTCAGAATGGTGCTCTCTCTGTGCGCAGTGAGAGAAAGAGAAGGGGCTTTGGAGAGAGTCATCACTGCGCCCTTTGCTTTGATAAAGAGAATCAAAGCAATTACCACTTAAAAACCCTGGAGCATCTCTTCAGAGACTGTAACTTCCCAAGCCGCATCTGGAAAGAAAGCAGACTAGGGATCAATGTCACTTACCAGGAAAGCATTCCAATTGCGGATTGGATCTACAATGGGCAAAGAATTTTGTGTGATACAAAAAGGGGCCTGGAAGATAGTTATCTCATGTTTTTAGCAGGTCTTGAAGGAATGTGGGAGGCAAGGAACAACTTGATTTTCAAGAAGTCACACAAAACCCGTGGGCAACAATCAAGATAATGGAGAGCAGAGCGGGCTTGACTGACAAAGGAGCTAGGAATAGAGAAAATGCAATAGAAATTGGTTTAGAGTCAGTCCAGGACTGCCCACCAGCTTTTGAACCAAGGAAGATCAGCAGAGATGCGCAGCAACATAACAATTGCCACACTTTAATTACAGGCAGCAGTGATTGCATTCCTGTAAGCTTGGAGATAAAGCTAACAAAAAGAGGAAGCAAGAAAGGAAGATGGCGCTGGCAGCTCAAGTCTACAGAAACTGTCATCCAGGAAGGAGAGGAACCTTTTCAGCCAGATACTAGAGAGTTGAGCAGGCTAAAGACCATCTACAAAGGATTACAAGCAGCTGCGAGATTGCATTTTTGGCATATCCAGATTTCGACCCAGGACAAAAAAACTATTAAGTGGATGCAGGATGATTATGCAGGGCCTCAAGATGCAGGGTGATACTTCAAAGGATTTCAGAAAAACAATTGATGTTTCATTATGTCAGTGTAGTTTGTAATATTGCTAGGGACTGACCTCCCTTTATGTCGGCTGTCAAAAAAAAAAAAAAGTCAAATTTCAAATCAAATATGGCTTTCTAGTACAATTATTTCTGAGATGAGAGTACACATCACTGAAGAGCCACCCAAAAGCAACTCAAGATCCCTATTTGTTAGGGTAGAGTTTGCTCATGAGTTTCTCTCCTCCAAGAGCAACATGGAGAGCTACTTGGAGAGTATCATGTACATGATCAGAAATCATCCTGGTGTCGAGCTATTTTTCCGTACAACCTCCTCAACTTGTCACCACAGAGTGAACCACAAAGGAAGTTCAAGGAACTAAGGGACCTTGTATGAACATGAAACTAGGACCATGGTCATATCAGCCATGGTAAAATGCAAATTAAGGGAATGTGCAAGTTCTAATTCCATCATACGGCAATAGCTGTTAACATTTTGAACATATATAATACATACAGCATAATTTGAGGGCTTTAAATATTAATGCACAACACTTTAAAACATAAAGCTTAAGCCTAATAAAATGCACTTTCATATGCCATGAGTACTGGCAGTAATGATAAATTACTCATCTAAATTGCTGTACAGCAATTTATGTCTTTGGTTAACTAAAGATTGCAAGAATTTCAATTTTAACAAGGAAAAACATAAAAGCTACAAATCATACTATGATGACCTAATGGGGTCAAGATAGATTTGGAAATTGGAACAAAAAAGACGACTTTTCACTTAAACATATCAGTGATGATCAGAAACTCAGAATGCATTCCAGAGACGACAGATTATGTAATAGACTAACCTAAGGAGGGATAGTATGGGTATTCTAGTAATTACTTTACTAGGTTAATAGTCCTTAGTATAGATAGAGGGGGGGGGGTGGGGGGGAAGAAATGGTAGGCAGAAATTTGGAGTAAATCCTTTGAGAGTAGTGACCTCAAGTCACTATTTGAGAGTTGTGACCTAAAATCACTAATAGAGATTGGCATCCTAAAGTTGCTAGCTTGTACAAATCCCTGCTCTTCAATATTTTCAATCAAAGATTTGATCTTTTGCCTCTATATTCTGTGTTAATGGTGTGTGTGATAGTCCAGCAAGCATGAGTCTATAACTGATTACACAGATATAATATTTAACTAAAGACCAAACAATCACTGCTCTGTTTTAGCAAAAAAACACTTTAATTTCAAGGTCCATCAACTGTGGAATCAAATCTCACCTGATCGTACAGATACTCAATCTGATGGACTTGCTGGAGAACATGTGTAGACATGAGGTGATTCAGTGCAGACATCTCCACCATTTTGGTTTCAGTTTCTTGAGCAGCATCAAGGAGATTACTCAGCTCCACCTACATTAAATTTTTATGTTATTCTGATGAATTCTACAGCCAAATGCTAACTACATAGTGTGAATTTATACAATTCAAAGTATCATGATGCATCTGCAATTTATAACCTGAAGTGCACGAGTGTCATCATCCAAAAGCTGTTCTTGGACTCTTTGGGGACTGGGTTCCACTTCATCAGGTTCCGTGGCCTCTTGATGTTGTGATTTCAAATGATCTGTTGATTTTTGATCAGGGACACGGCTTCGTTTTCTTCTGGGCATTGTTCTATTCAGAGTATCTTGAAACCGTATAGCTCTCAGCCGATCAAATTCTGATGTAACTGAATGAAGCTTTTCACTCAAAATCAAAACCTGTATATTGTTTTAGAAATAAGGGATTAAGGGAAGTGTGCCAAACCTAGAAAACATAGGCATTATCTTCTTTACAAAGAAAATTGGCAGACAACAATAAAGATGCCACACAATGCAACCATAAAAATTTAACTTCCCACTGTGTTAGTTTAGTCAATTGACTAAATCTAAATACTTGTAACATTTAGCTTCCATAAAGAACCAGTAACTTTTAATCTACATTCTTCACATCAAACAACCCTACAACAGTGGGACATGTATCACGGCTTATTTGCTTGCCAGTGAGTAAACCATACAAAATTGATTGGCAGTTGTGAGAGCTTACTGCTCAAGACACAAACAGGAAAGGTAGTCATACACCGACAACAAAGAGGGAATTCTTAAAAAGGAACAAGGCAACCTTGCAAAGAACTGATGCATAAAAGGAGAATCTCCACAGGCTATGTTCTTTTTACCTTAAATTAAGTTTCAGGACATATATATAATTTCCAATATGTTCCAACAGCTAATAGTCTAATACCCAAGAATGTTCTATTAAGTTAAGATCAGTTCCAATAAGTTTGATGAGTAATTTTCAACAAAAAAAAAAAAAAAGTCACTCTTAGGCTCTGTTCACTTCACCTTATTTTTGCTGAACCAAAATTATTTTTACTGAAGTGAAATTATTTTTGTCACTGGTATTTACTGAATTAAAATTAATTTTACTGACCTAAACTTATGTTTACTGAACTAATATTATTTTTACTGAATTTTATTTATTTAAGGTGAACTGAACAGGGCCTTAATGGTATCTCAATTTGCAAACAGGTATACGGTAATAAACTAACAAAAAATTAACTTTCCTCGTTATTTTTCATCAAGCCTTATAAGTTAGATTATCTCATCTACTTGTCCAATTACAAGTGCATTTTGGGCCACTGAGACATGAGTACATGACACATCTGTGATCCATTAACAAACCAAGGAGTCAAGGACATAAAAGCATAACACAGATATAGGAAATAGCACAACAAAAATTGCTTCTTGATTTTAGGTAGCTAAACCTAGAGGTATATCAGCATTCTGAACTCAGAAGGTCTCATGAAAGAATGGAGCAAAAGCACCAATACCAGCAAAGCCCAACCCGCACCCCACCCCAACACCCCAACACCCACCATACTGAGCTAGTTAGCAGGAGAAGAAACTAACTACATAGTACAACCGTCATAAATCACATACCACTCCATGTTTATGTGCAATTATATCAGCATTTGAACCATCTATATTCATACCAAGCCAGCCCTTCGAATTAGCTTCTTCATCACTTATACTGGCTTTTAGAACCTCTATCTGCTTTTGACACAATTTAACAAAAGAAGTAACCTGCAAAGAACAAATTTCAAATGTCAAAGAACTCAACATCAATACTATTACCTTCTCAATGAACTTGATGCGGTTTATTGATCAAATGATCAGATATACAATCATGGCATAAATAACATGTGACTAATGTGCTTCATCTTAAAAACAAGGAATGAATAATTTCGGAGATTAGAGTGCACACACTGAGGAGTATTTGTACAACAATGTATAGAGAGATTAAGACTAGAATTAGGCAAAAGTATAAATGTGATAATTTAAGAGCAGATAAAGACAAGTGGAACAGTCTTGTAGTAAGTTTTTAGACTTTTAGATGAGCAATATACACTGAGCATTTGTTGGGACTGAATGAAGTGTATTCTTTTTTTTTTTTTTTTCCTATTTTGCCTTAGTATAATTAGTACTCCCTCCGTCTCTTTATTTAGAACCTATATTCCTTTTTAGGAGCCCAAAATTAAGAACCTATTTCTAATTTAAAGTTGTACTATTTGAGAATATTCTCCACTTTTTGATGAGTTGTCATCACTTTTTTGTAATAATGATAAGACTTTTTACATTAATTCCCAACATTTTCTCTTTCCCTCTCTTCAATTATTCCCAACCACTTTTTTTTCCCTCTATCTCTCTCTAACCCCACATGCACTTATATACTTCCACCAACTTTCTTAATTCTCGTGAAAAAACCCAAATAGGTTCTTAATTAAGGGACAGAGGGAGTAGCTTGACAAATTGAAGCTCAATGTAAGCTCATAATTAAAGTAAGCAATGGGAAGTCCCTTGATATAAGATCAAGGTTTGTTGTGTTTACTTGCTGTTGACGATCAATTATGAATTACCAAGGTTTTATTTTTCTAATAGCTAATTGTGAATTTCAGCTTGGTGTGTTTGTTATAATTTGAAGGGTTAATGTGCTTCACTTAGATAACGTTGAATGGTTTAGCTTGAGAGCTTAGGAGGGTATGAAGTGAAGAGCATTGTATAACAATGTATAGAGAGACTAAACAAAGAATCAGGCAAATATTGCCATGTTGATGGTAAATTATGAAGAGCAAAGGTCTTATATGTTTCTGAAGGAAAGTTATGTTGCAGGAATTTGATTATTTTGTGAAGGTGGTAATGATTTGATACCTGTTTTCTACCTTTAATTTTTATGTTAAACTGTGTTTTCTGATCTGACTTTTTCTCTTTTGACTGGTTACTCCCCTAGCATAATTGTGTATAAGCATTAAATTATTATTGAACATACAGCAGCCATTATCAAATCAGCCACACATTCAAAAACCACGCTCTTCAAGTGGGATTAGAGTAAGATTGAAATATCGATTTAGGGAGTTTAAACCTTAGTGGACTTTGCAGAAAACAGCAACAAATATTTCTGGCAATTTGAGGTATAGTATTTGCAGATAATTAAAATTGGCATGAACACAGGCTCAATTAGCATCATCCAGATTTTTATTTATCATTTTCACGCCATGACAGGAGTAAAATGTTTACTTGACCTATTTCTAATCCTAACTGATGAGAGACATGCAAATGTCCAATGGTGTTCAAGCCTCAAGACCACTTACGCTTGAGAAGAACCTAAGAGGTCATATTCTACCACCCTTTTTATGAATCAACTCTATGGAATCCTCATGAGTTCAGAAATGTATTAATTTCTAGAAATTGAAGTTCCAGTAAGACCCCTTGAGCATAACATATACTTCAGTCACGCATTAACACTCATTTTACCTGCAGCTGAAGCTTTGAAAAATATGTGGATCAAATCTTGAGTGCGGTGCATGATTGCATGAAGCTCGCAGTTCAGCTTAATGCAGCTGGGCTCAATACCTTTTGACTTTTTTTCCCTCATTTCTATCAAACGATCTCTGCTTATCTCGACTACTTGAGGTTAATTTTCTATACATACCCTTTAACACTTCTCACCAACAGATGTATGCTTAACTCTACTAAGAAGAAATAGGAACTTTCGTATTTTAATTATACTAGGGATTCTAACGCGCGCGATATGCGGGATATAGCTAGCCATTTGAGAAGAATTATTACCGATGACCTTTATGCCCTATGGCTATTTGTGAAATGTTTTATCAAAGCTATTTGCATATAGACAATAAATGTGTTGGATGTTGTATAGTTGTGCAATGTTCAAAAATTTAGTTGAGTTACTTTGATTTAGCGATTGAACGGTAAAAAGATATTGAGTTCGATGTAGAAATATAAATGTTTAATAAATTCTAAATAGAAAAATTAAAACAAAATGGAGAGAGTAAAAGATGACTTTAAATGTTGAAATAAGCATAACATTTAAAATCAATTTAGGGAATTCAAGACATGATAAGGCTTTTGAAATCAAATAGGGGAAAATATATAAGAGAACATTTTTAGGGGTATAAATGTCCATGCACAATTCATATGAGTTTTGTTGAACTTTTTATAAGGTAGGGATAAGCTGTTTTACTTTGTATTGAGCTTGCTCCCCAAAAATAAGGGCAGCTTCCACTTACCAATTGTCAGATCAATGCCCAGTGTGTGCACTCTAATCTCCGAAATTAATTCTGCTTCTTCAAGTCATTATAAGCAACCAAACTTTCATTTTTTGCGCATGTATGTGATAAATCAGGTTAATCCACCTGTCAAGTTCACATATGCAAGACGCCAAAACGTATCACAGAAGGTGGGAAGGACTCATTGAGGGAAAAGACACCTGACTACTGAATTGGCAGGAGGCACAACAGCTACAACAAGAAGACAAGAGTAGCATTCTAGGGAATTGCATTTAAATAGCAGAGAGATGGGAGCAGTAGAGAAGTGTATTCAGTGATTGTGGGAGAGTTTGTGAGGCTCTCGAAAGCTCACTACTTGTTAACTGTATGAAATCCCAATATCTATCAAAAAGCTTCACCTTATCAAGTTTGTGTCTTTCCTCTTGTTTATTTGTTGCTGAGCTCATTTTAATTACAGAAACGAGCTCGAATTTGTTACTTTTAATCCAAAACATGAGTTATTAACATTTAAACCACTACCACAAACTCGTTAATACAGTAAAAGAAAATCAAAAAAATTTGACATAGCCAGGTAAAGTATGAGGTTATAAGACTTAACATGCTGTCACAAGTACTTCAATGTTCAATTAATTCTAGATAAGCCGAACACAAAACAATAGTTATACACAATAAGTCCAACTTAAAGATAGCTTAGAACTTACTTCCTGTTCAATGCTATCTCTCTCCTGTTCAGTAGTCCGATGCATATCAACATAATCGCGCTTATGTTTCATCAAATACTTTTCCAACTCTCCAATGCTCTCAAGCTATAAATTCAAAAATGCCAAGCAAATTCAGCACATTACAGCATCACAATGCATCAAAAATCTTTGTCCAATTTCGAAGATTGAATCGATCCGCTTACTGTTTTCAACGAAGATTTCATGAACGGAGTCCTTTCGCGAGGCTTGTGTATAATGAATGATGCCATTATAGCAGCAATTTTAGACTAACACACCAAAATTGAAAGTTGACAAGAATTAAAATTCATTCTATGGAATCAATCAAGATACAGTTATAATCTATATTATTATAATTCAAGTAATTTCAATACAATCAATCATCAATAACAATTTGTCAATAATTTGAATTAGACCTAAAATAGAAAATTGGGAATGTACCTCATTGTAATCGAAAGAAACGGCTTGACGGCGAACAGCATCTTTGAAATCCTCAGTCCTATCCCTAATTTTCGCCATTGTTGGATCATACAATACACCAGCGGAAATTTGTATGAATTGAACTACAATTTGACAGAAGATGAAGTAAATTTGCAGCGAATTAAACAAAATTTCCAAAGAATTACACCAAATTGATGAGAGTATTAATGACGATTTGAAATTTGGAATTGAAGCAAATTCGTAGGCTTTTCCAGAAGTAGAGAGAATGATAGAAGTCGTATAGAGGAAATTAAGTGTGAAAGTGAAAGAAAGAAAGATTTTGGGGAGAGAAAAAGTGTGTTACGACAGCGGTGTTGTTACACGCCGCAGCCGATCGCAGTGATGATGGGCGGTAAACGGGCACTAGTTGGACAGGGGAGATACGATCTGAAGATTAACACTTTTTTTTTTTTTTTTTTTTTTTTGGGTGAGACGTATAAAAGCCGGCCTCACAGCCAAGCCACGGGATATGAATACTTGGCAAGTTTTTCGAATGCAGTGTCGAGCCACGTAGGCGACAAATAGGTATTATTGTGACAGCTAAGTAAGCGAATTTTGATTAGATTTATTTAGAATAAAATTGTTGTATAGTGTTTTATTATCGATATACTTCTAATATTTCATATATACAAAATAAATTATAACTTAATAATAACATAGATATCTATTTTTACAAATAAAAACTACAAAAAGTACACTATTATATACGATGTATTTAATATTCAAGCTAAAAAGTTTAGGACAATTCGGGCATCCCCCGGGCACAAAACTAGTAACTAATATATAAAGCTAAACTTTTAACCAAGCCATGAGACGACGACACTTGGCGTTGTAACACTCACCAAGTGTAAACGCCAAGTGTCGCGCCACGTAGGCAATAATTAATTATTAGTATTACACATTATTTTAGTTTGATATATTTTAGTTTGATAAAAAAGTTGGATACATTTAGATAGATTTTTAAGGATAAAAAAGCACTGTTATATACTCCCGGGAGTACCTTAAGGAAGGTGCTCCCGGGGGTATTTTCGTAATCTCTCAATCATCTTCCTCTTCCCCTCACCACCCTTTGACTTTGGCTCCACCTTCCTCCTCCCCTCACCACTCTTTATTTTCAATTATGGAAATTCAAGTCCAAAATCAAATACTCTTACCTTCTCCCCATCTCCGACTCATCTCCTTCGTTCACCTCGTAAAATCTGCACACACGCATAGTTCCACCTCTCAAAAATCCTCAATATTCACTTACATTCCAACATTTCCTCCATTAAAACGCTACTTATGCAATCAATTCTTCACATTTAACTCCACCTTCATCCCAAATCACAAATTTCAAGATGAGTAGAACTTCTTCAACTCACCCCTCAATTAAGTGTTCTCAGCAACTTATACATTAATTTTTTTATTTTTTTTTTCATAAATCAAATTAGCCCCACATCGTAAATTTTCATTTTAATTTCTTAAATCTTTGTTTTATTGAATTTTAATATATGGGATTGCAGCAAATTAAATTTAATGAAAATGATGTTGAATCAAATTATAAAGAAAAGGAAGACGATGATGGTTCTTGAAGTTTCGTAGAGCTAATCGCAATACCATTGATGACGACGACGATGATTCAAATAATATTTTGCTCATTTAATCAACAAATGAGCAAATAATTTTTGCTCATTTAATAAACGAGCAATAATTATTTGTCCATTTAAGTAATGAGCAAAAAAATTTGCTTATTTGTTGATTAAACAGCTTAAAAATAGTTATTTAAAGCAAATTTGCAATTCTAACTCAAATTTGCTAATGAATATGAAACCAGAAAAGAAAAAATCAAAGCCAAACTACCTAGATGATGCCTCCATTGTTATCACCTTCACAAAAGTTAGCTTTGTTTTGGATAAAAAAAAAAAAAAAAAAAATATGAACTATATAATGGTGAAAGAAAGAGGCAGGAAGAAATTGAGAAAAAATTGAGCGAAATATAATGAGCAAAAAACATAAAATAATTCACCTAGATTCCACCATTGTTGAATACATAAAAATAAAAAGAGAGAAAAGTTACATATATTCCAACATTGTTGAATACTGTAAACAAATCTGAAGCAAAAAATTGAAAATCGAAGACAATAAACAAATCCAAAGCAAAATATCAAAAATGTAGATGAAAAATTTCGGAAATTGAAGACATGCCCATGAAGAGAGAAAAAGAAGAAAGGAAGAGAAAGAAAGAAGAATAGAAAAATTATGTAAGAATGAAACCTCTGGATATCACGTGCAAAGCAAACTAATTGTAATATGACAGTTATTACCTTGGGTGTACCGTACACCCAGGTATATAACATTATTTCCATTAAAAAAGTTAGTTTAAGGTTTTGTTTTCAATAAAATTTGAATAGATTTTTAGGATAAAATTGTTCATTCAAAAAACATTTTTCGATAAAATTCCAATATTTATGTATAAATTGAATTATATAACTTTCAATAATTATCTTATAAATTTTGTTTCAAAAAAATTAAAATAATTATCTTATAAATTTAATATTTTTATGTGGTATTGGTTTTTCAAATATTTCAAAAAAAAAAAGCAAGAGTGCTTAAGCCACGATATAAAAAATATTTCAGCCATTATTAAGTATATACTTCCTCCGTTCCTTTTTAGATGACACAATTTGACTTTTGCACTATTCACAAACAACACTTTGACTAGTTTTTGTGATTTGTAGCTACGATAAAACATAATCATGTGGGATCTTGTTTGAATCGTCTTAATGTATATTTTATTAATATCCACTTTTTAAAATTTTATAATGTTGATAATGGGATACATAGCTTGTGAAAATTGTGCGTTGGCAAACGTGATAAAAGAAACGTGTCATCTATTAAGGAACGGAGGAAGTATATATAAAGTTGTATGATTAGTCAAGCCAGGGTGGGCCCTGATGGTAGGCCTGGGGTGCAGTCGCCTAGGGCCCACGCCAGAAAGGGCCCAAAATTATAAAAAAAAATTCCAATTAGAATAATAGTTTATGGGCTTGATTTTACTTGTGCAATGCAATGCATACTTATAAATATGTCCAACAGTATTAGATATCCTCCAACAAGTTAATTAAAAAATAGATTTATTAGTTTTTATTAGTTTTTATTATTTAGCTCTCATATCACTTAACTAGGTTAGAACCCGTGCAATGCACGGTTTATATAAGACCTAGATAAGAATTATGCACCTTGTACCGAAAAAAAAAAAAAATTAGATTTTCATTAAATTTTCATTAAAAATTATGATATAGTGCCGGTTCAACGTCACCTAATACATATTTTAATGTATGAGGTCATTAGTTTGCTATGTAAAATTATATCAATTTTCTAAGATTAATTAATAGGTGATTTTAGTTGTAATGTAGAAGCTTCCAAAATTTAAATTTCAAAAATGTTAAATATGATAGCTCCACAAAAAAAAAAAAAAAAATAAATAAATAAATTAATAAATGACATCATCCTTGTATTTAGGCGAGAAATTTTTTATTGAGAGAGCGACATATAGGCATTGGTGACGTCGGCATACTCAGTTTTAGTAATAGTTAATAGATTAGGTGGAATTTACAATATGTTTATTAACCTCTTCACATCCTTTTACTCCAGTTTCCCATGATTAACAATTCCAAAAATACATAATTTTCAATTACACCACTTCAAATCTTCTCTAATAACCCAAATTTAAGCCCTTTATATTTGGCTAATTAATATCATAGCAATGGTTTTAAAAATTAGCAAGATAAATAGCAGCAAAAATAATTCTCTATCACAAATTACTCTGATGAATTTTATGGCTTGTTCAACTTTTTTTTTTTTTTTTTTTTTTGGTTGCCAATTAGACAAAGGTAATAGAACTATTTCTCTTTAACTTTTCTTGGAGTACTCCGTATTATTTAAATGAAATACGGAGTACGTAAGTAATTTTTATTTGTCTTTTATTAAAATCTATTACGTCAATAGAAAATTTGGTTATGTGTAGGCCCCTTTTTTACATTATGCCTAAGGCCCATAAATTATCGGGAATGGGGCTGAGTCAAACCACGATACAACAATACTTAACCATACGATTAGCCAAGGAATATTCCAACTTTTCGTAAGTGTAGTGCCGGTAACAACTAACCATACATGAGTACGTGGCTACGAGAGATTTGAGCCAAAAAGGAGGTTTCATGCAAATAGGGTTTATAATTTGAATATTGATTTTTTTTAGCAAAGCTTAGCAAAATTTGTGAGTTAGGGAAACCTACATACGTGTCAATATCAATAAACAACCCGGCCATCGCCCGGGGCACAAAACTAGTCTATCTATCTATATATCTATATATATATACTATAACAGAGGACGCTCAATTTTTTTTGACACAACCACGTATCTTATTTTTATCTCACTTCTATTACGTTTTTTTTTTATTATTTTTTGGGTTTCTGTGAATCGACTAAAAAGTGATTTTAATGCCGAATATGTAACACGTGACACCTTTTAAATTAAAAAAATTGCTTTCAAAAAGACCAATAAGTATTAAGTTACGGAGTACAAGTCTTACCAGTTAGCACCTTAGCTAATCCCTCCGTATTTTATTACTTGATTCATTTCTCCATGCGCGGAGTTTTTTTGAAGAAATAGTAGAAAGTAATAAATCATAAGGAAGTAATCAATATACTCCATATAAAGGACATTAATAGAGTAGAGAGATTGATGGTCTATGTATGCTCATGACCAAGGAGAAAGTTGCGCATAAAAATGGAGAGAAAAAGACTTGCTAACAATAAGTAGGTTAATTCAAGATCATTCTTATTACCTTTAATTGGCAGATATGTATTTCACGAAGGTTACTGCATCTGCAAATTCCATTTTCTCCTTATCTCTACGTCAAGTTACCTTATGCAAGTCCCAGCAGGGGGATCACACTTCTGCCTGGTTGAGAGCGGTCCCAATATCGGGTTTGGGTCAGACCTATGAATGGTCAGGCTTACCATTGTGTTCTTTGCTACCGGTTGGATGTTCCTTTGTTCTTCGTTTCGACACCGTGTTCATCTTGCTCAAGAGTTTTTGATGGGGATCATGCACTGTCTTATGTTGGGATGGTAGGTATTAAACATCGGCATAATGTTATTCGTGATACCCTTGTTGATATTTGTTTTCAATCAGGGATTTCTGCAAGAAAGGAGGTTAACGTTGGGTTGTCTGAAGGTAACAATGTGACTCTTCGACCTGCAGATGTATTGCTTTATTCCTTAATGTATGTATGGACTTTGACGGGGTCTTCAATTCTCCTTTAACACAATCTAGGTTGTTTGACTTTGTTCCTGGTCGTGTTGTGTCGTCTGCAGCTCAGCGAAAGCGAGATAAGTATGAAGCGCATTGCAGGGCTATTGGCTATGGTTGTCTTCCTTTCTCCTTTTCTTCATTAGGGGAATTAGAAAAGGATGTCGTAGCGTTGCTGAAGCGGTTTCAAGTATTCGCTAGGACATAGGATATAGGTGCTCGTGTAGCTGCACACATATTCAGCAGGATCGCGTTCGCTATAGCTCGAGAGGTGGGGGCCCAGATTGTATCTCGGCTCCCTACTAATTTTTTGGTAATTCGGATGACTTTGTAAGTTTTTGTTAATTTTTTATAATAATAATAATAATAATAATATCATATCAAATCATATCACATCACTAATAAATAAAGCCGGTCTCGCAGTCAGGCCACGAGATAGCGACACTTGGCATTCCAGTTTTTCGCCAAGTGTCACGCCACGTAGGCGACAAATAGTTATTATTGTGACACATATATATGATGCTAAGTAAGCGAAGTTTGGATAGATTTTTAAAGATAAAAAAGTTGTATAAAGTTTTATTATCGATATACTTCTAATATTTCATATATACAAAATTAATCATAACTTTTAATAAATATCTTATAATTCGGTACTATTTCTATCATAAAATTCGTTTTAAAGAGTTTTTAAAAATAAGATCCATTTATAATATATTTAATTTATTTACAAAATAATAGAGAATTAGTGAAAATAAGTTTTAATCATGAAAAATAATTTTTGTTTTGGTAAAAATACTTGTAGTTTAGTAAAAATAATTTCTATTCAATAAAATATATTTCAATTTAATGTCTAAATATCCTGCATTATCAAAAGGGATTATATGATCGTATTTAACATTCAATCCAAAAAGTTTATCCTAAACTTTTATCAACCATTTGGGCATCGCCCGGGCACAAAACTAGCCACTAATAAATAAAGCCGGTCTCGCATCTAGGCCACGAGACAGCGACACTTGGCATTCCAGTTTTTCGTTAAGTGTCGAGCCACGTAGGCGACAAATAGATATTATTGTAATTAAATTAGATGTCACATTAGATTTGATTAGGATAAAAAAGTATACATAATAATTTATAATTCTCTTGAAAAAAATTATCTTTTTATTGACAAAAGAATTTTACTTATAACAAAACACCACATATTACAATTAATATGAATATCCAGTTAACAATAGGATTTTACTCCTATATGAATAACCACATAATTACAATTATAATTATAAATAGGAAAATGATAAACATAGCCCTAAGGGCTATGTATAAGAAGCTAAAAAAGGAAATATTTAGAATAAAGTAACATTAATTACATCGATCTGTGCGTGATTTTGTCATGAATTCCCAACTTAATTCCATTTTTGGAAGCATATTTAATGCTTATATATAGCCCTAAGGGCTACATATATCATTACCCTTTTAAATATGGCGATATATCATTAATTTTTTTACTCAACCTTTTATTTACCATCAATGCTTTTGAATCATATATTTTTAAATTCGGTTGTAATATTATTTTTCATTTAACAAGAGTTTCAATAATTTTTTTTCTTTATAAGGTACTACTAAATTTAATGCTACAATTAGTATTATTACTATATTCACAAAACACTCACTAAAATGGGTATTCGGGGCAACGCGCGGGGGCACGTACTAGTATATATACAAAGGGGAGTTTTTTCCCAAGATTTTAGAGCGCCACGTAGGATTTTAAATTTTTAAAAATTATTAGAGCACCACGTAGGATTAGTATTTTTAAAATGCTACAATAGAATTATGCCACTTAAGATTAGTTTTTTTAAAGCGCTACGTAGGTCGTAGGATTATAATAATAATAAAAAAAAAGCACCATGTAGGATAAATATTTTTAAAACACTACAATAGGATTATGCCACGTAAGATTAGTTTTTTTTTTTAAGCGCTACGTAGGATTATAATGAAAAATAAAAAATTAATAGAGCGACACATAAGATTATTAATTTAAAAAAATTATCATAAGTAAAATTAAATGATTTATTTGGGTAATCAATGTAACCAACATTATGACAAATTTTTACAAAAATTACATAAAGGAGAGTTTTTTCAAGATATTTTGAGCGTCACATAGGACAACAACAACGTGGCTGATCCGAGTCTCCATTCTTCCACCTCTATTGAATTGGGTCGTGGTCAAAGGCCACGGCAAGCTCTTGGTTGGCATCGTGGTTACATCGCACATACTATATCTCTTCCATGTCCATCTATCTCCCCAAGTTCACCGTCTACTCCAAGCTCCTCAGGTATTCCTTATCCCTTAGCACATTTTGTGAATTGTAATAATTTTTCCTTGCAACACCTCGTGTTTATTGCAACTGTGGATACGATGGTTGAGCCTTGTAATTTTAACGAGGCAATGCAACATGAGGGGTGGAGAGAGGCAATGTAAAAAGAAATCACAGCTCTGGAAAATAATGAAACATGGGTGATGAAAAAATTACCTACGGGTAAGAAAGCTCTTGGGTGCCGATGGGTATACAAGGTCAAGCTGAATTCAGATGGAACAATTGAAAGATTGAAGGCTCGTCTCGTAATATTCGGTAATCATCAAGTTGAGGGTATCAATTATAACGAGACATTTGCTCCCGTAGCTAAAATGGTCACTGTTCGTGCTTTTCTTGCTCTTGCCGCTGCGAAAAAATTGGGAATTGCATCAAATGGATGTTCATAATACCTTTTTACATGGTGATCTATGAGGAGGTTTATATGAAGCCCCCCCTGGATTTCATGGTACCCAACATGGCATTGTGTGCCGTCTTCGGAAGTCTTTGTATGGACTACGACAAGCACCTCGTTGTTGGTTTTCTAAATTGGCAACTTCTCTGAAAAGTTACGGATTTTTGCAATCGTACTCTGATTACTCTCTTTTTACTTTGAATAATGGGGCTATTCATCTTAGTGTTCTGGTGTATGTTGATGATTTGATAATTTCGGGTAATGATACTTCTGCAATTTCATCATTCAAATCATATTTGAGTGACTGATTTCATATGAAAGATTTGGGTGTGTTGAAGTACTTTCTTGATATTGAGGTTGCACGGAGTCCGGAGGGCATATTTTTATGTCAACAGAAATACACTGTTGACATAATTGCAGAGTTAGGATTACTAGGGGCACGTCCGGCAGGTACTCCTATTGAGCAGAATCATACTCTGGCAAAATCAGACACGCCTCTTATTGCTGATCCTGAAATGTATAGTTGTCTTGTGGGTCATTTGATCTATTTGTCTTTCACTAGACCGGATTTGGCTTACACAGTTCATATCTTATTTCAATTTATGCAACAACCTCGTCAAGGTCATTGGGAGGCAACGCTTCGTACTGTACGATACTTGAAAGGCTGTCCGAGTCAAGGGATCCTATTGAGTTCAGATTGTGATCTTCATTTGACAGGTAGTGTGACTCGAATTGGGCTAATTGTCCTTTGACGAGACGTTCGATTTCTGGTTGGTTGGTGTTTCTTGGTGGTTCCCCTATTTCTTAGAAGACTAAGAAGCAACATACTGCTTCTAAATCTTCTGCGGAGGCAGAGTATCGTTCAATGTCGACCATAACTTCAGAGTTGAAATGGTTGAAGGCTCTACTCAACAGTTTGAGAGTCTCGCATCCACGTGCGATGAGCTTGTTTTGTGACAATCAATCAACGTTGTATATTGCGCAGAATCCAGTCTTCCACGAACGCACTAAACACATTGAGGTTGATTGTCATTATGCTAGGGATGTGATTCAGGAAGGAGTTATTAGTCCGTCTTATGTGAAGACAAATGATCAACACGCAGATATATTCACTAAGGCCTTAAGCAAGAACCAATTTTTGTATTTACTTGGCAAGTTGGGCATTTGTGATTTGCATGCTCCAACTTGAGGGAGGGTGTTAAGCGTATTTAGTGTATAGCTCATGGGCTGATGTTATAAGCCCTAATCTCTACAGGTTGTATATATACTTGTGCATACTCTAATACAAAATACATAGTAGTATTCTCTCTATTCTTGACAGTCATGAAAATTTATAAATGGAATCAATTGTCAAAACTCTTGGACTGAGTTTTAAGTCACACTTAAGAGAAGTGCCAAAAGACATACCACTAGTCCAATTAGGATTTGATTATACTCATTCAAGTGATATTCAAGCGATAAGTTATAACGTAGTAAATTTGTTTCAAGACTAGTTGTAAACTTATAAGTAACAATTGAGCATGAGGTTAATTTTGCAAAATTGTGCTTATGTGCAAATATCCACTATTAAAGAAGAATAAAATTGTGAATGTCAACGGTTTAGTTGGCTAAAGTCTTAAAAAATAGTATCTAAAACACAAAATTAAATCTCAACTACTACCTCAATTTCAAATTATTTGCATTAATTAGACATTCTCTATTCACATTTTATATCAAATCGTCATAAATAATTTAAAACGGAGGTAATACACAGACTCCATCATTGCCCTTACGACTCCTTGCGTTTACATCGTTTTCTTTATTGCTATCTTCACAAATAAAATTGAGGATTTTTATTTAAAAAAAGACAGCTACGCTACTAAAGTGGGCCAAGGAAAGTGACATGTACTGATGTACATCTGCTTCAGTAATTAGATTACCAAAATCAGATAAGATAAGGCCCAAACTACATCACCCGTTAGATAGATATTCTCCCTCCATCTAACGCCTTACAAGTGCCCACATTAGATAGCCCATCACCCAAACATCAGAAATAAAACACCCCCACCAAAAACATTTCAAACCACTAAACCATTTAATTTGCTTCTAGTCCTAAACTCTCAACACACCTCCCATAACCACCACCAATCCATCTAACAACTAAATAAAATCAAACATGGCTTCGGCCTCGGCCTCGGCTGCTGCCACCTCATCTTTCATCGGGACTCGTCTTCCTGACGTGCCATCCAACTCAGGAAAGGTCACGTGCCGATTCGGGTTTGGAACCAAAAAAGTAGCCAAGAAGGCCCAGCCCAAATCAGGCTCAACATCAGACCGCCCATTATGGTACCCTGGTGCCAAGGCCCCAGAATATTTAGATGGGAGCTTAGTAGGTGATTATGGGTTCGACCCATTTGGGCTAGGAAAGCCTGCTGAGTATTTACAATATGACTATGATGGTTTGGACCAGAACTTAGCCAAGAATTTGGCTGGTGACATTATTGGGACCCGGACCGAGTCGGAGGATGTTAAGTCCACAGCTTTGCAGCCATACAGTGAGGTTTTTGGGCTTCAGAGGTTCAGGGAGTGTGAGCTGATTCATGGCAGATGGGCTATGTTGGCTACTCTTGGTGCTCTGACTGTTGAGTGGCTTACTGGTGTCACCTGGCAAGATGCTGGCAAGGTAAGTATAATATGATTTCTTGTGTTTGTATTCATTGTCAGAAAAATGTCTTGCTTGGTTGTCTAAAATAAGGAAATTGTAGTATGATGAAATCTAGATGTTTTAACAGGAAAGCAAAGTAGATACACATTTACAATTTCAGATCAAAATGGTCGTTACAGGTTAAAGTTGCATATTTCTGTTGTTTCTAAAAGATTGACTCATTTATAATAAAATCTTGTTTTTAGAAAAGTTAGTTTAGAAAAAAGAGAAAACATAGAAGATACTGTATAAAAATAATTTCAGGTCAGTTAAAATAATTTCAGTTCAGTAAAAATAAGTTCATATCAGTAAAATAATTTTAGTTGAGTAAAAATAAATTCAATTCAGAAAAATTTAGTAATTATAAAGAAGAAATATAATAGATAATCAGTAAATATAATTTTAGTTCAGCAAAAATAATTTCAATTCAATAAAATTAATTTCAATTCGGTAAAATTTAAATTCGACAAAAATAATTTCGGTTCAGTAAAACTAATTTTAGTTCAACAAAAATAAGGTGAAAAAAAAAAGGTATAGGTAAAAGGGGTTTGCCAAAAATAAATATAAGTTCAAATGAGTTGAGCTTTCGGAAATACCTCAAAATAGAAAGTGAATTGAAAGTGAGTTGAAGTTTTAGGAATGAATAAAATATATTAACGGGTACTTTCAGTTTTTTTTTTTTTTTTTTTTTTTTTTAGCACTGTTGAGGAAATTTTTGAATTTCTCTTAACAATTTCTTCTGTGATTAAATTTTATAGGTGGAGCTAATTGAAGGATCATCATACCTTGGCCAACCACTTCCCTTTTCAATGACTACATTGATCTGGATTGAGGTGTTGGTCATCGGATACATCGAGTTCCAGAGGAATTCAGAGCTTGACCCTGAAAAGAGGCTTTACCCAGGTGGAACCTTCGACCCATTGGGTTTGGCATCTGACCCAGAAAAGAAGCCAATCCTTCAGTTGGCAGAGATCAAGCATGCCAGGCTAGCTATGGTTGGTTTCCTTGGCTTTGCTGTTCAGGCTGCTGTTACCGGTAAAGGCCCGCTTAACAACTGGGCGACTCATTTGAGCGACCCGCTCCACACTACCATCTTGGACAGGTTCCTGTAGAATGACTCTGGTTGGGGATCCTATACATTAAGCATCTTAAAGTGCCCATAATATAGGGTTCATTGTGTAGTTTCAGAAGAGCCTACTGTTATCTTGTATTAGTACTGTAAAGAGTGGATTATTGGGGCTTGAAGTAGAATGAAGAATGCATTCTCTAGACAGGTTGTATGATTATTATTGGAATATTATAAATGTAGTATCAAAGATTAACTAAACAACATATATCACCCGAATAAAAGGGAAACAATAACTAAAACTTGTTTTCGAAAGAATCACTCGGTTCGGATAGAAGGGATAATGATTCTTTGCTTCAACACATTTTGGAAATAATTTTAACTAGAAGCACCCATTTTTTTTTTACTAGAAGCACCCAAAAATAAGAAATATAGAATATGCTTTCCTAATATACTTCCACAAACAATCATGACTTACAGCACCAAGAAATTATCATGGACACAGTTAAAGAAGAGCTTTTATATCTCATAATTGGCAGCAAACAATTACAGGCAATATAATCTCATCGCCTCCACAAAAAAGAGAGGGGAGGAGATTTCAAAAGTAGCAAAAAATAAAAGCAAATGTACACAAGTTATAATGCATCATGTTGTAAAAAACCTAATTCTGTAGTTTCTAACAATTTGAAAAGATCAGCTTTCCTTATGTGTTCTTGCGGTGCCCTTCAATCCCAATCACCACAAACAGGAAACATGTAAAGAGGACTATCCTCACAACAGGGAACAATTAACTGGAAGTACCAAGATGTCAGCTACTCAAGCTCAACATTATCATCCATTTTGTTTTTCAGCGAATGCCAATTCCGAAACCAAAGCAATATGATCACTTCCCCATTTCTGATTAAAAAACCACATAAAAAAAGGTATTACAATCAAATACCTGTATAAAATTTTACCTACAAGCAACTTCAACAAAGTGAGACACACACTATAAATATAAAATTAAAATTTATCAGATCTGTTAAGCCTGTGCTATATGGAAACAGGAGCAGACATTCCCTACAAAACCTGCAACTAAATTCTGGCTATTGAATTGTTCAGCTCCTCCACCACACCCCCCACAAAAAAAAAAAAAAAAAAAAAAAAAAAAAAGACAAGCTGCCTGTTCTTGTCCAATTGTCCACCAATCCATAATGATCTATCAAGATTCTTTTTGGGTGCATGATGGAAAACTTAGGAAGATCTTGACCTTCTATTTGTAAGGTTTATTATTTAAAGATGGAAAATGGAGACTGAGAAGACACATACATATATGATACATCTACAATTGACTTATTCACTGAGCAACACATTTTAAGGATAAGAATTAATATTTTCATGTGCGCTATTACTACTATACTAAAGAACTAATGTTGGTTGCTTCTCATAAACTGAAGTCACACTACTCACTACTGGTTCAAACTTGAAGCACTAACCTAGCAAATTAGCCATTTCAGAGATCGAATATCAACTATCAAGATCAATTTTTATATCTGCAATTTTCATAAGCATATTAGGAGCTATTTGGAAGTAAAGTGATCATATCCATCAATTTAGTGTCTGTTCTTTTCATCTGAAATCCACTATATTGAACAAATTGGAATCAACTGGCACAAACCAGAATTAATCATAGTTATGAATGGAATTTGGGTAGCCCACATTAAAACTTATCAGTACTTACTAGCAGCCTTTTCTGACCTTTGTTTTCCTGGAATAATATCATTTTAAGGTGAAAGAACAGTACAATATGCATATTGACAGAAAATATACCTTTGTTGGGAATCCCCCACTACGTTGCATTACATCTTTTCGAATTGGAGCAAGAACTTTAGTGGTGTAAAGACCTTCAGATCGCCTGTATGCCACAGAAGCAAAATATCACTTATACAGCTTTAAATCTGAGAGCTGAAAATTGTGTTCGGAACAAAACGCAGCTCAAAAGGTGAGCAAATACTATCACACAATTCTTAGCAAGTCATTAATCAAACAATAGGACAAGCAAATCAGATAGATTAGAAGTATAGCTCACCATATGTAATCAACAGTTCCCAGAAAACAAGTGTTACAACTAGTTACCAGTGGCTCCCCATTTGAGTCTCTTGTCCCAGAAGAATCCTAGAAAACCCAAACAGAGATCATTAAAAGGTGACCGCAGACAATATCACTAATACAGAGACCACAATCACAGCAATTGTAGCAGCAGCTTAGTATGAATCTTAAACATTCTCAGGGTCTGGAGAGGGCAAGACGTGTTCAAACAAACACTAAATCAATCAGCCAATTATCAGGTAAAAACTTTCATGATTTTGGTTTAAAACAAAGGCTCAAAGAGCTACCTATGTCCGAATGTTGAGAATCTGACACGAGTAGAGGTAGAAGAGTCCAAGTAGCATAGGGTCAAGAGCATTAGGAGACTACATTTATGAGGTGTAATATTTTTTTTTTTTGAAACATTATGAGGTGTTATATAATATTACACAAAAGATACTTGCATTTTTATTTGTATGTGTGAAAAATTTGGAATCCATTTAAAGCATAGAAAGAACATTATATATAGGTTTTTTATCAGCCAAGTAAACAAGAAAATGAAGTGTTTAGTCAGCAGCATCACTTCATCAAGTGGATACATGTCACTATTAATGAAACAGACTCTCACTATGACGTAGGTAGACTATCTCGACAAAAATATTTTTAAACCAGTTCATATAACTACCATATAAGCCCAAGCTAGTACACATAACTTAAATTATTCCTGCCCATGAAACAACATGAAAGCAATCACATATACCGCACCTTTTCCAGATCATGTCACATGTTTTCCTATTATGAATAAAGCCAATAGTCGAAAATAAAACCTACCACCACTTCTGTGTACACGCTCCTGAGCTTTAAAGGGTGCTCAAGAATGCGGCTGTTGGCATCCCCAGTAGCAGTAGCTATTTCCATTGTGGTCCACAGAGATGGATCATAATATGGTATATCCATATCAACTGTTTCAACCTCAGGGGCCAAATCACCTAAAATAGTAAAAACAGGTTATCAGAAGCTAACTTAAGTCAAATTAACAATTAGTCTGCCACAGAGGAATTTACAATCTTACCACCATTTAATGGTACCCCATCACAACCGTTGCTAAAATCAGACAAAGATCCCTCAAGATCTTCATGTAAATCTTCATCCTCAGAAATTTCACCAATCTCATCAAGTGATAGCTCATTAACCTTTTCAGTTATATCAAGGTTCGAAGCTGAAGTTTCATCTGATTGAGAAACGTTTGAGCTATAGTTGTTCCTAGTCTCTTTTTCCACAACATTGTTGTCAGAATTACCAGCAACAGAGGAAAATCTATCACTATTGCCCATTAAGCTACAGACTTCAGATATTGGAACTTCTTTAATTTCCTGCTCATTCAGCGGCAAACCAGAGATAGCAACATTTTCAGCTGAAAGCACTGAAGTAGAATCAGGACCTTTAAGTGTCTCATTGAGTAACTGATCAGCATTTTCAGCTGAGCTTATATCAGTGTTTTTCTCAAATGAGTTTGCGGGTACATTTTGCAAAGAATCAGCAGCAGGAGGTTGCTGCAGGCTAGCAGGTGTTTGAAGTTTGTTAGATAAGCTTCCTAATCCGTTCTTATTTTCAAGGGAATTACTCTGTTTTCCGTCAATACTCTTGTTCTCAACAGTTGCTGGACTAGCGACATCACCAGCCGGCTGTTCCCTAAGAAAATGGGAAATCATTACAGATCTATAACCAAAGAATAGAGTGCAAAATTGATTCAGCAGAATTTGAGGAGGGAGAAAAATAACCTGGGCTGAGAACCATATTGTCTGGGAGGGGGACTAATTACAGCAGAGGCTTGTCCTGAAACCTTGTCTCTGTCTACTCCTGATATATCTAGCTGCCAAATCACAGATTTGATAGCTTAACAGACATTTATAGAGGGATGCTAGTCATTCCAAAGAATAAGGTGGTCCCAACTTTACCTTCTGCTGAGATATGAAGTTGTACAAGGGACTCTGTCAAAAGGAAGTCACTTAGTTTTATTGATAAGTGCCCCAATTTAATTTGAGAACGGAGAAAGATAAGCTGTATACCATTGGAGTGCAATTGAAATCACCACATAAGACCACAGGAGCATCATCCCACGTCTTCGATACCGCTTGAGCCCTTTCAATAAGTGTCCTCACCTACATACAACAACAAAAAGACTCCAATCAGCAAGGCTGCAAGGACTCCGTTTACATACACAATGGAGCAAGAAAGACCTGGTCCTTTTGACTTTTGCAATCAAAATGCAAAATTCAAATCCGCTCCACACATAACACAAAGTCACAAAAAAAAAAAAAAAAAAAAAAAAAAAAAAAGATTAAATTTCAGAGTGCAAACTCCAGATAAGGTGTTTATGGCGATGGCGTGCCATAAACAAATGAATTTAGATAGCCATCAAGGAAATAGAGATGCATAGTTGAACGCTTGAGCATAACTGGCATTTACCACATTAAATATTAGCTACATGCAATGAGATTAGCTTCTCATGAACTATTCCAATCAAGTAATATAACAAGCAGAAGCAAGTACACACTATATTTTTTAATTGGCCCTTTCTTTCTTTTTTCTTTTTTTTTTTTTCTTTTTTCTTTTTTTTTTTTAAATTCGTATTTATAGTAGCAAGAAGGTGAAGAGGAAGCAAATCAGTTTTCTATACATCTGCTACACAAGTAAAATATATGCCAACATACATTGCAAAAATGCCTTTACTAAATCTCTTCATACTCATACAAAATTTTGTTGCACAAAGGACCTTTAAGGGTGAACTATCAACTAAGTCCTGATACCTGTCCAAGCTTGATTTCTCCTCTTCTTGGATTGTAAAGCACGTGAATGTTACAAATGACGACTCTATTAGGGGATTCTGAGCTGCAGGGGTAAAATAAGATTTCATTTTTTAGAGAGCAAAGTAGCAACATAGCATATTAATAATCGATAGCCAAGAAAAGAAAAAGGAAAGTAAATATTACGAAGGACTCCTATTAGTTTTTCATGTAGATAAACACCTCCAATAATTCACAACTATAGTTAGTCTACTAGCTCAATGTTTTGACATGATAACCTAGCTAGTTACTATGCCTATCTAACAAAATCACAGTAGATAGAAAGATTAAAAAATTAAGGCAAAACTGATTCTAATAATCCAACCTTTTGTCGGTTAACCGGAAATA